GGAAGGTTCATGTTTTGGCTGTCCAGCCCAAAAATGACATGGGCTGTCCAGCCCAAAAAGGATAGGCTCTCCAGCCATAACTGCTCATATCTACTTGGGGCTGCCCAATGCTAGCCATTTCTTTGCTTTAACTTTTGAAGCTTGTTCGACTAGGTCAATTTACACATTTTTCTTTCCAACATCTATATGTGAAAAATCAATCGAAAATTCAATCGAATGCAATAGTTTGAAGATTGAATTTTAGTTTCAAAATTCAATCTTCAATCGAAGATTGAATTTGCTCAAAATTCAATCGATCTATTGAATTTTTTCAATCGAGGATGCTTAGGGAAAGGCAAAGGCAAGACCAAAAACCAGTCTGCCTTCACCCGAAAGACCTACATCACGGAGGCCATCGAGGACACGATCCCTGAAGATGAGAACGGTGAGTTGGAAGCTGAACAAGCTGGCTCTGATGAAGCCGGCGATGCAGATCCCCCTGAGCTCAGGACCCCGATGAAGATGAGGAGACCGGCGAGAATGTCGAAGACATCATGACCGGGCTTCACGAAGCTGCTGAGTGTTTGACGGTGACGACGCGTCGCCTCCAAGGCCTGACATTGGGCCGCAAGTTTTCAGCGCAGGCAAGGCCGAGTCGCACTGCGCCGTTTGTGGCGCCCGTGGTCACTGGAAGGGTGATCCCAAATGTCCTCAAAGCTCAGACCAAACAGGTCAGAAATTTGACAAATCACTTAGCCTCCTGCCAATGATGGTGCTCACGGTGGCCCACCATGACGGGGCCAAGAAGTCGGTGAACTTTGAGGAACCCTCCAAATATGTCCCTGAGAACACCTATAGGGCACCTACTTCACCTATATATATGTTCACTTCACCGATTTCTGAGGGCAACCTGGCATATGGTCGTGGACACGGCGTGCCAGATGTCATGTTGTAGTACTTTGTGGTTGACACATCATCAAGAGAGTCTCAAAGATCATGGTCTACGAGTTCGCACCTTCCCATGTCGAGAACCCTTCGAGTTCGGCCACGGCCCCACTGAAAAAAAAGTGAAGTTCACGCTCACATCCCGGTTTGCTTTGACACGGACGCCAACCACATGGCTTTGTTAGGTGCAAGTGTGTTGTCCACCACCAACAACATCCCCTTTCTGGCGAGCAATGAGCTCACGGGTAAGAAGTTGAAGATGGTTTTGGACCTCCCCCAACCAAAGGTCGTCACGCAGGCCCTCAGCATCGAGTTTCCCATTTGTTTGATTGGAGGCCGCCTTGCGATCGGCGTCTCAGAGTTTCCTGAATGTCGTTCGTCGCTTTGGAAGCAGTTCACCGACATGTTCATTGCCGATGTGGCCGATCGTGATTTTGTTTTTTGCGCCTGCAGTCCTGCAGACGGACCTGTCGCATGTCAAGCCTCACGGTGCGACACCAGCTTCATCAGCGCCACTTGCTGATGCATCGAGCTCCACCCTGCGCGCATGGAGGCGGCTGATCCGGCAGCCGGCAGCTGAGCGAGGCCGACAGTCCTGATCCAGGCCGTTCGCTATAGGGAATCAGGCCCTGCAGCTGGCTGAGTTTTCAAGATCCCACCGAGATGGAGTACACGATGGCCATCATGGAGAAGGTCGAGGGACCATGCGCCCACGAGAGCATTGCACGGTCGGGCAATCGTCGCGGCAGCTATGCCAACTGCCATCACTGCGGCAAGAAGCGGCGGTGGTCAGAAGAAAGCCAACAAAAATGGATCGATCCGCCACCACCAAAATCGCGGCAGCTGCCATTGCCCTCATCATCAAAGGCCTCAACCTTCCTGGACAAACAGCACCGTCCACAGTGGAGCCTGACACCTGGCAGTTCTCCGAACAAGGCATCCACACCCAAGGCACACGGCCCAAGCGCAAGGCAAGAGGAAGGAAGCAGAGCCGGAGCAATTGGATTCCTCCGACTACGACTGGACTGGGAGCAGGTGGACGCCATAAGCCCCTGAAGACAGGGGGCAAACCACTTGGCTCACCAGCTACTTGAGGAACGTCGCCAAGACCTACTTCCAGGAGAACCACATCTACACGACCATGAAGTCCTTTGCGGAGAAGATGAAACGCATGAAGATCGACCTTCTCGAGATCTTTGCAGGTTCGGCTAACCTCTCCACTCGAGCTGTACTACGCGGATTGAGCTCGCTGGAACCCATCGACAAGGAGATCAATGTGGACCTCTACACAGCGGCGTCTATAAGTTCCAACCGCTGTTGGTCCACATCCCGTGACCATGCAATGTTCGGAACCTCTTCAAACGAGAACGTGAACTACAGCTGGCGACCGCAAGAACTTCAAGATCTACGTGATCAAGATCGCATCCTGGTGGACTTTGGCTGCGACGTCACGCACTACCAGAACGAACATGATCGTCTATATCTGGGCGAGAATCCTTTGAGATCAGGAATCTGGATCACACCTTCCGTGAAGGCCGTGCTGAACCTCAGCCCAGAGAACATGATCGCCCAATGCGATGCTGGAGCCTATTGCGCTGAGTCTGAGAAGTTAACTTGGACCACCAGCCGGTCGTCAAGACACGTCAACGGACCACCAACTCCAAGCACATCGCCAAGGAGCTCCAGCAGAAGATGACGCCTGAACAAAAGGCGTGCGCTGTTCCGCCACACCAAAGCAAGCGGTGAATACTGCAATGGCTTGGCTGACGCCATTCTTCGAACGGCGCTTCCAGAACACCCACAAGAGACCATTCAACCTGGCCCCATCCGACGACGTCTACAAGATCGTTCAGAGAAGTTGGTGCCTTGGAAGCTTGAACGTGTCGCAGGCTACATGGACACCAGCTGCTCGAAGATGGCCCAATGACATCCCCTTCGCACATCGTGGAGGAGCTTTCATGACCGCCGAGGGCAAGATCATTTTGGAGCACGAAGACCTGTCAGCCATTGCGCGGGTCGGTCGGCGTCTTTTTCTCTGGAGATGCGCCGGAGGACGAGATCGAAGAGCCTCCAGATGAAGAACCTCACGAACCAGCCTTTAGGTCATGTCAGTTGTGTGTGCGTTCGAGCATGTCGAAAGCCGCCTGAACCTTCACACTCCCTTGAGTTGGCCACCTGAGCCTTACTTTTACATGTGCGGCCGCTACTTCGCTTCTTCGCTTTTCGCAGAGCTTTGAAATCCAGAGTGCTCGAAGCACGCACTACTGTGAGACCTACGAGATAAGGCACTGTTTATAAAAAAACGTGTTTTTTGGTGGAGGTGGTCTTAGCAGTTTGCAGAGGGCCAAAAGAAAAGAATTAAATAGGTCCCATCAGCGTGCCAATGGCCATACTTGTCATTTGACTTCGACAAACGACGGGTATATGACAAAAAACACACTAGGTTTCCTTTTGTAGAAACGTGTCATGTTGTAGAGAACTTGAAGGAGCAGTCATTGAAACGTATGTAATTCTTGAAACATGAGTCATTCTATTTGGATTTATTTTGCTGCCAAAGCCAAGTGGCCCAAAGACCAATGTATATCTATTTGCAACATCGGCTGCGTAACCTCACACCCCCCAACTTACCAGGGGATGCTTTCTTGCTGGTTTTCTGCCATGGGCACTGGTCCCGTTTAATCCTGTGTATTTGGCGTATTTTGATTGATCTTTTGGACCATTCGCACAACCCACCAAGGCACAGGCGCATGGGTGGAGCGTTGTTGACAAAGTTGGAATGGGAGCTCCACAGTCGATTCATGAACCCATGTGTCCACAGCCTCTTATAATGAGAGTCTCAGTCCCCAAGAAATCACCAAGGATCGCTGGAAATCACTGCCAAGGAATCACACCAAGTCATATGGAATTTAGGGGCTTACGCCCAACTGCGGGCCAGCAGGGTTCAGTGGCACGGTTTGTTGTTGTTTTTGTTTTGTGGGGGTGGTGGGGGGTGAGGGTGGGGATGGGGATGTGGGTGGAGTCGTGGTGTGGTTGTGGTTGTGGTTGTGGTTGTTGTTGGTGTCGCCCACGGTGTAGCTGTTGTGGTTGGTGTTGTTGGTGTTGGCGGTGTTTCTGGTACTGTGTTGTAGGAACAGGAAAGGGACCAACGAAAAAGAAAGCGCCATAAATGCAAGGCAACTTGGACGGCATAAGTCGCAGTTTGAGGCCATCTTGAGCCGTCTTGAAGGAAGGAGGAGGAGATACCCTGACGAACATGTTAAAAACAAGAGGCATTTAAGAAGAGCATCTTAATCCACACTGCTAACAAAACACTGTATGTTTCAAGGCTTTTGTGCGTGCGTTGTCGCAAAAGCCGGATATTTGCGAGGTTTTCTAGCCCCTCCGTTTTCGCCCGGGCGGGCCTCCAAGCATCCTCCTTCGTGGCCCTGCAAGTTTACCCGTGCCAAACCCCCCCACATGGTCTACGTGTGGTCAGCGGCAGGCCCTGCAGACTTAGCCAGGGCCACCCCCATACCGATATCCACGTTCTTGCTCCAATGGCCTTTCGGCCCAAGACTTAAAGAACTCTGCATTGGCATTGAGATCCACGAAGCTTTTTAGTATTGTTCAGACTTCATGGAGCGAAACGGGTGGCCAGCCTGGCTTGGGGGCCCCAAGGTCCCGCAAGAGGCTTGAGGGGGCAAGAAAACTGTGCCACACAACAGGCTTCGAAGCCTCATAGAAAGACACAATTCTGACGGCTTAAGTCCAAGCTGCCGAGGAGGGCTTGAGGGGCAAGAAAGCCATGCCACATGGCAGTTTCTAAGCTGCCAAGAGGGTTTGGGGGCAAGAAAACCGTCCAGGCTTCTGAGGAGGGCATGCTCCGGCCAAACAAAGCTCCACACCGAAGGTGGCCCCATGCGCCGCCCTGCCTTGGCAGGCGCTAGGCAGGGTCGGCGGATGAAGTCGTCACATTACCATATTAGACGCACGCTCCGCTCAATTTGATGTGTTGGTTTTTTGCAACTGGCTGAGAAGTTTGTTTGACATCTGTGTTGTTGCCGACAAAGTGGCGTATGCGCCGTGCATCCATTGAGGCCCTATTTATTTGCTGGTTTTTTGGCGCTGTTCATATTTGGTCTTATCCTGGGGTTGCTTCCCTTGTGGCAGCCTTGGCCGAAAGATTGAAAATCGATCTGCACACAATTCACCTGCAAGGATGGGGGTCCCTATCTCCATCAGCACTGCCATCTATGATTGTTTGGGCGTGTGAGCGTCAGCTGCAGACATGTTGCTGTAAGTTGTGTTTCAACATTGAAAAATTTGATGCACAGAGGCCACCAGGTGGAAGGATTTCAAAGTGTAGTCGACTGTTTGTTGACCAAAGTTGATCACGTGGTACCAGTTTTGTTCATTGAGGTTCTGTTGTTTTCCTTTGCCATCATTTTTGATACCCAGATTCTTGGCGGCAAGTGAGGTTCTTCCTGAGCAAGTGTTTTTCTTGTGGTTTTGCAGCCGAATCTGTATATACTGCATACTGCATTTTTTCGACGTTATCAAAGTGTTATGTACCACAATAAGAATATATAATATACAAAGTGATTTTTAGCGATGTGTACCGTTCAGAAGGCTGATGCTTGGCGAATGGGGAGGACACAAGGCCTGAACAAAACATAGACAGTTCGTACTTGAGAGAGAGAGAGAGAAAAAAAAACACATATATATATATATACACATTGTCATGGGACAATGTGTGCAAGAAATGAAAAATAATTGGGTTGTTCCGCAAAGCATGAAAAGACTGTTCTGGTGATCTGAGTGATTCCCATAATTAGATGTGCAATGTGAAACTGAAGATTGCTGCAGGTGGCAGTTTCCATTGATGAATACGTGTTCGCCGCTTTGAATCTCTACATGGACCTCTTCCAAGTCGAGCTTGCATATTCTCCATATGCATTTCAGCTATGCGACCCTGACTTTTTGATAAGGACATCATCAACATATTCCTTCATGTGCTTTCTCTTTTTGGTGAGCGGCGGCGGTAGAGACCACTGCGTCAAGCATGTACTGTGATTTGATGTGATTTGAATATAGTTGAATCTTGAGTTTTTGCCTGGTTTTGCCTTCTCAAAGACCCGGATGTCACACAATGGCGGCGGAAAGAAGACACACGCTGTCACACCGTCGGCGGAAATGTGAGCTTGCTGGCGCGTTAGCCATTTTCTTATCCCGCACTGATTTATACGAGCTGGTTGCAGTAAGTATCGAGAGAACATCTGCAGAATCAGCTGCTCAAGCCGAGCCAGCGACACTTGGTCATGGATGAAGGCGGAGTTGATAGTGAGAATGTTTTGTTTGTTTTGTATGTCTATGTCCGTCCAATTGAGCTCCAGCTTGAGGTGCAGATGAGATTGAGTCCGCTTTGACCCAGCTTTTCAAAGCGTATGATTTAGATGAGTGTGGATCCTTGGATGCTGCACACCTCGTGACGGGAATGCAATGGAATGCACGTCCTGTGATGATTGTGACGTATTGTACCATCAAACATATGGATTCATGTAGCATTCATGCTATGCGTCATGCACCGCAATGCCAGGTCTGGCTTTCTCAGCCGTGAGGAGTTCCTGGCCATTGAGATGCGATTGCACTATGAGGATGGCCAGGCAAGAATCCACAGAAATTGTTTGGAAAGATCCTTTTCCAATTCGCCCAGCTTCAAGTGCAGAAGGCTTAGAAGGAAGAAAGTTTGGTAACAGTTTCGTTCCAGAATCTAGTGAGATAACTAACGGTTTCTTCCCAATGGAATTCAGGCGGAGGAGTTTCTACCCCAAACTAAATGTTCATACTACAAATTTACTTCGGGGTGGAAACTCCTCCGCCGGAATTCCACTGTGTTCTCCTGTAGAAGTCTAAGGAGAAAGGTTCTTTTTTTCCTCTTTATATGTTTGTTCTCAACGTTTGTCTTGAAGTCTTGTTTGTCTATATACATGTACTTGCTAATTGTTCTTTCAGGTGTACCGTGGAGAATCTGGATGTGCCAAGATGACACTTGCAGATCTCGACTCGAGCGGGTTTCTAGATTTTCAGGACTTCACAGCGTATGACATGCAAGATCGTGCATTGCTGCAGACTTCAGTCAAACAATTCGTTGCTCTATCGTGAGGAGTTCCGAGTCCGAACCCTGACCGCGTACCAGGAGATGGGTATGTCTCGCCAGGAGGCGGTGAAGTATCCAAAAATACAAGTCCAATCTTTGCAATGTGCCGAGATGTACAGTAAATACAAAATATTCTACATTTATCCTGAAAGGTAGGTGTGCAGCATACTTGAAATGCGAATATGTTAACTTGCATGTTCCGAGTTGAGTCATGCTAAGGGTAGACAAGAATGGAGCCTGCAACAATGCCAGGTCTTGGATCATATGACCGAGCAGACTCAGAAGGCGGCGCTACAGTGCAATGCGCATGCATTCAATGCATCATAAACGACACAATCATGGTCAATAATCTATGCCACTCTGCCTTTGTGCCATAAATGGCTTGAGGTGCACGTTGCTTTTAGGTGATTTGAAAGGCAAAGCCAGCTCAATGTAGAAGCTGGTGCTAGCTGTAAATGGTGTCAAGCTAGTTTCAGGTTGAGTCACATGCTGAGCAAGCTATATCTTGAGGTGGCAAGATATGGCAAGTTGTCAAATGACTTAATTAATTGGCGAGGTTGCGGGTACGCTGTTGTTGAGCTGGCTGGCCGGTGAAACTAGCCTGGTTTTGAAGGGGGAAGCTAGCGGTCTCCTGTTGGCATCTTTCGGCATTTTGGCGCAGTTTCGGCAGGGTATCTTGGGGTTGCGCTGGTCTACCGTCTACCGTGATTTGTCGCTGTGCCTCGTGATCCGTTCTTGCGCCTCGTGATCCGTTCTTGCGCCGTTTGGTGTGTCGCAATCGCCAACTCCACCCTTTAGTCCGAACTCAATCCAATCAAGAGCAAACACTACTCTGCTTTACAAGGTGGCAGGCACCATGACTTGCATGTTGCAATGTGATTGACGTGAATGGCTTCCAGACTGCTTAGCCATCCAGGCCCATGGAGGACAGTGCCCCATAAGTGTCAGGATTCACAATCGCAGAAAGTGCCTTGCCCCCCCAACAGATGGCTGCGCCACTTCCTCAAATGTAATGTTGCAAAAGGATAGTTGTAGAAGTTATAGAGTTGATCCCGGTTGAAGCAGTTCTGTAGGATCACAGAAGGGAAGGGAAAGAAAAACAAGAAGAAGAAGAAGAAGCAGAAGAATGGAAAAGGACGCTGGAAGGGCACTTTATGATGATTATATACAAACTTTCAGCATCACTCGCCAGGTCCAAGGTTTGGAAGATCACGTAGATTCTTAGAGAAGAAGGGAATATGGGCAGGAGGAAAGAACAGAAGCAACAGGGAAGGCGTGTTTTCCCCAAATAGTCTCACTAAGGACTTCTTGCCAAAGGTCCAGGTTCTACAATTAGGTTTTCGTGTGCACGTGATGCTGTGCTCATTATTGGACGTGGAGGTCACTTTAGTCAACGGTGTAGGTTCGACCTATTTCGAGGGAGCGTAAATTTAAAGTGATGAGAAGGCGGGATATGTTCTCTTGCCAAGTGCAGCTTAGCATGTGGCAACAGCTTCGATGTGGCCAGGGAATCATGAACTCCAGATACTGTAGACTCTTCATTCACGCTTTTGGATGACGTCTCATGCAAAAGCTTCGTTCTGCGAGATTCTAGTTCATTTTTCATGGCAGCACTTTGAGACACTCCACATTCTGGTTTGGTGGCAAGTTGTAAGAGTGTCAAGAGATCCTCACAACTTCAATGTTGTAAAGATGGTGATGCTTTGGGGAAGCAATTAATTTTATAGCTATCAGATCTTTGTCAGAGATCCTGGTTAATGCATTCGCAAGCACCTCACAAACAGATTTTGCAGAGAGCCAGGATCAAGGCACCCTAGTGAGTGATCCTACATGATATCAGAGATGTGGTACTGTACCCAGACATACCTAGACCCTGCAGAATTCCAGACATTTGCATAATTGTAAATTGGATGATCTCATAACAAAGCAAACACTTGCCCCACATTTCTACATAAATCCCGACCCGTCGAAATTGACGTCCAGGATTGTGTAGGCGTAGGAATTTGAATAGCGCAGACGAGAAGACGGGTAAGAAGGCAAGAAAAGGCAGCAGGGAGGATGTGGACGGATTTGTCATTGACAACAGTTACACTCCCTAAATTAAATTAATCATGGAAGCGGAAAACCACCTGTTTGTAGAGGAAAGTGGTCATCCAAGGGGCCATGTTTCATCTCCGTGTTTATTCGGGAGTGTATATTCGGAAGCCTGTGGTTTGAGAAATGATCCGTATTGGGAGCAAGCAGCAGGATCAATGATGCAATTCCTGAACAATGGTAAACGACAAGGACAGAGTAGAAATGATACAGTGGATAGAACTTGCTATGACGAAGACAGAGATAAGATAGCCTTTCAACCAGTTTTGTACTGTATGTATAAACGGCACTATTGGTGTGAAGAATCAGAAGTTCTGATTGTACTCACTAAAAAGTGATAGGACTTTTGTTCCCATAGGCTCCTTCACTTTGGATGTGCGCCAGTTTGTTGTTTAATGTTCACAGAAGTTTCAGAAAACATTTGCAACATGCAGTCAATAAAAGTTGCAAAACAATATCGAGTCATACAGAGTGAGAGTAATCGCAGCACAAATTCAGAGCTGGCCCAACACTAATTACGTTAGCGCAAGCAAACCATGTCGACAGGCAACGTTGCATTGTTTTTTTTTGGTCAGGTGCTTCCAGGTGGTACTACTTTGTCCAACTTTACCACACGTTAGCTACAGCAATCCATGAAGCAATGGAAAGACCAATACGCAATGACCCGTGAATGAATATGGACAACTTGTTCGAAGTTGAAGCCAGACCTCAGTGGCTGTTTGCCCAAAATTCTATGATTGAGCGCTTCAGCCACAGGCGCTGCTAGAAAGAGCCAAGATGGGGCCTCGGTACCATGCAGGTATCCGACAGGCGCATTGGCGTGCCTTCACGCATTGAAAGAGAGCGTCGGTGTAATGTAGAGAGGATACTACCTGGTTCCTGGGCCGACATTCCAAAACATACAGTAATCAAGTTATGTTAAGTGCGCAATAGTGCGCACACAAAATGGAAGGTAGGGGCCTTGTTGAAGGGATGCGACCCTTATTTCCTCTTCCTCTTTTCATGCTTACTTATGTTATAAGTTGCGTTTGGGCGAAAGGATGGTAACCTTCTTCAGTGTTTGTTCGGACGAGGGGAGTGTTGGCTTTGGTCGCTTGAAACGTTTCAGGCATTGCGGAACATATTTGCTTTGTTTGATGTCAATGGTGATGGGTGCCTTTCGCCAGAGGACTGACCTGTTTTGCAACACAGGGCATATACAGCCAAGTGCATTGGTGCGTTCACACTATGCATTGCATGTACTTTGCCAACGCTGCTGCCTGCAAGTGCAAAAGTGTTCCTCCAAACAGTCCTTCATTTCCTTCTCAATTAATTTATCTCTTTGTAGACTGCGAGCGAAACCCGAAGATGGAGGAAGCTGTATGGATGAAATTCAAGGCTCATGTTAGAAGGTAAAAGTGTACTTGTCTACCACTTATATAAGATTCGTGCAATTGATTGACCATTCTGCTGTAGCAACAGTCTTTGAAAGTTCCAAGAAACAATATAATCCGGTCCACCTATTAAAAAACACGCCCCCCCCCCTAATAAGGAAACCTCGGTCGCATTTTTTCTAATAGGGGGTCCCTGAAATCGGAGGGTCCAAAATAGGGTCACCTGGGAAGAGCTTTAAAGCCAAAAAGTAAATCAGTAAATTTTTATATAAAATCCTTTATTAAACTCGTATCAAAAATGCAAAAAAAGAAACCAGATCGAAGGGTCTTCCTTTTCCCCTACAAAAATCTTCATTAGAATAGTGATTCTTCAGTAGACTAACAGCTAAAGCTTTCGAAAGGTGATGTCGCTGTGCCATGCGGTGTTGCCTCGGTGGCAAGTGCGTTTGCGTGAGTCCGTGCCATTGGGGAAAGGAAAGCGCGGCGTGTCATGGTGGATAGACAGGGCGGACAGAGGTGGGCAGTTACGGTTGTTTTTGGAACCTAAAAGAAAATACTCCTCCAAAGTCGGCAATGTTGGTAGTTTAGTAGCGGCTTGAAAGGGCGGTAATTTAAAAACAAATATAAGCCGTATTTAGGGGTTTCCGACATGACTTTTTTCTAATGGGGGTCCGTTTTTAAATAGGTACTCGGGATTAATATAAGTTTGTATATATATACTGTAATATATATTATATTATATGTGAGAGAGAGAAGAAAAAGAGACCGATCAAGTCACTCATTGGAAGGTCAGTAGGTTCGCACCCTGTGACCTCGTGTTTGCAGACCTGTTGGTAACCCTTTGTAACCTTGTATTTGTCCATTCCGTGCTGGTTCCAAAGGAGGCAGGGCAAGTTGACATGAGATGCCGCAATCAGCCTCACTCCTCCAAAGTGCTACCGTGAAAGAAAGAGTGCATGCTACAGTACATTGAAGTGCATAAAGGCACCAAGAATTTTGGCAGAACCATCACAAAGCAGGAAGCCAGAAAGCAGAGAATCGGATAAAAGCGCTACATGGGTAGACTGTGGACAGATCCCACATGTCCCGAACGATTCCTGGTTCCGTATCGCTGGGGCCTAAATGGTCAATGGTGTGGAGCTATAAAAATACAGTCTCCAATCTCATCTCGGCTCTTCACATGCTTATCTAATGTTGAGCTGAATGAAGCAGCTTGGCATTGGAATTGCGAAGGAATGAGATGCGGAACAACATTTGGAAAATAAATAGGACAAACGTTATAGAAATAAAAAGGGCATGAGGGTAGGAGAAACGTAGAATGCAACAACCTAAAAATTTGCAAAACACGCATAGCGCAATATGGATCATAGCGTAATATAGGGGGATGGGCGCCCGATGCCCTATATATTTCCTATGTTTGGCCCTATTGTTTTCCTAATTGTTTCATATGTGCTTCCTTCATAATCTGTTCCTATGTTTTCCTGATGGATGTTCAATTTTCGGAAAAGTTGGCTGCCCAGTGACGGGTCTCTACCGGCCTAGACCCCCTACCTCTCAGGTCTGAACCCTTTGAACTTTGAACCCTGACACCCGCCACCAAAGCCCTGATTCCCTGTCCACTGCCAGGACCCAGCTTCCGGTTCCTTATGTTGTTCCTATGTTTTTCCTATTGTCGAACAATTTTTCAATTTTTCTATCCATTTCGTGATTGTTTTCTAATTTATGATTTTTTGATCGTGCCCAATGGAAGTTTAGCTTCCTCAACATCATGCTTATCTTTCTCATCTCTCCACTCATCAGCAACTCCCTCATCACTACACTTGCTCCTTCTCACCCTCAACTTCCCAGAACCATCACCTGTCGCCTGCTGTCAATGCGGTGATTACAAGGAAAGCTTGTATTGACTTGTACGAATCCGGCGCAAGCTGATTGTTTCCTTCCTCAAAATTGCCGTGCCTTCGGCTTGGCATGGAGTTGTGATAGAATGTCAACCGTTCACTTGGAATCGCTCCTCAAACGGAAATATTACCCTAGGTGGATCTTGACATCCGCGTTGCCTCAGGAGTGGATATCAGCGCAGAAGACTGTGGCCTCGGAGGCATGGATATTTTTTGCAAAATATATGGTTCTGAGACATAGCGCATGAGTATGCAAGCGTACGATTCGATCCAATACCCGAAACTCATTGGAATCGAAGAGTCTTGTGGCATGATTTTAAAACAACAAACACGTATTGTAATTATGTTTATACTGCGTGTGTGTATGTATATGTATGTATGTATATATATATATATGTATGTTTGTGTGTTTTGCTTTGTATATGTATATTCTCGGATCGTGGGGATGAAAGATAGTTGGTGGTACATTCACAGTGTCAATGAGATACCACGGACACATCACCGAGCTTGGCAAATCCCATTGAATGAAGGGAGTTTACAAGAACTTGCTTGAGAATTGCATTTATGTTTCCCTCAGTTTTAGGTAAGTGATGACCTCGACGAAGGCCACTGCTGCAGCTTTGACTTTCAACATTCTTTCAACTTGGGCAGTTGGAAGTTGTGGCGTAAGAATGTAGCTTTGTTGCAAACAAGAACCAAGAACTCAAAACAGCATGTATCTACTTTGCTACGCGAGGCTGGATTGATGAGGCGGCTTTCCAAGCTGCTGACACCAATGGAGACGGCGTACCGGGCTTGATGCTCCAAACTTGTCTATGGAAGAAGCCATGCCAGGCTTTTGTCGCCACCATAGTCTATCTATCTATCTATCTATCTATCCATCTATCTATCTATCTATCTACAGTTACTGTAGATAGATAGATAGATAGAATGTTGTTGGACCACCGCTCATAGTTAGACATTTTGTGTGGTATAATTTACAGAACAGTCAGTCCATTGCCAGTTTAACAGATTTTAACAGCCTGTTGTGTTCAGCGTGTTTGTCTTTGGTTCTTCGCTCTAATTATGTAGTATAGCATAAAGCTAAGTGTTGTTTGGGCAGCGTGTCTCATGATTCAACTTTGCATTGTTGGCAAGGGCCTTCCTTACACCTTGGCTTTGCATGAATATCATTGAATATCCTCCGAACAGTCTACATTCCGCTGGCCACAACTCTCATGCGCACATCTCCTTTCTTCAAGCTTTCCAGTCCTGAAAAGACTTGCCTCAGCCACTCATCTGATCAATTACTGCCCAACGGGTACGAGTTCAACAGGCACATCCTGATGGATACTGTACTTCTTTGCCAAGGACTGCCAACTCCACCTATGACCCATGGGTTTGCGTGCTGGGATTCCATCCTCATGTGGCACGGCACTTTGCCATGGTGCAGCCTCCCCTTCAGCGAAAGCAGTTCATGGCCAGGTTCGCAGACCACTTACGAACTTTGGCGTCGAGCATGAGGTGATGCGCCTCGAAGCTTGTTTCAAAGCTAGAGTTTGGCAAGAGCAAAGTTCTTTGCAACCTTGCGACGATTAATGGCCACGCAAAGGCACCCAAGTTTTCTGCGTAGTATCCACCAACTGGCGGCCGATCGCAACTTAGGCCAAAAATGGGCAAAACTGGGTCCGACGATGAACGCAACGCGGCGCGCTTGAAGCAGTTAAAGGCGGTCTGAAAACTACATGCATATTCCAACCAAACGGATGGTCTGTCCGGAGGGCTATGCGGTCGTGACTCTGCATAACCAGGCACTGTGCAAAAATGTACAACACACCACTCACGCTCCCTGCAACACTGCAACCTTTGCAAGTGTTTGATGTAATGCGAGCCGCCATGAGTCGTGGTTTGAACCATGGCAAGCAAACTGCGAAGCATAATGAAGGGGCAGTTAAGCAAGACTGCCGAGCGTAGAGGAACCCAACAAGAGGCCGGTAAGGTACCACCAACTTGGCTGATCGGTGGCTTGGATCCTTCAGATCCTTCAGGTCGTGGACTTTGTTGAACCAGAACATTTGACAGGCTGACGGGATGTTATGGGGATCTCACCACATCTGGCGGTGGGAATAGCGTGAAGATTGGCAGCCCATCAATTCTTTTCCGAGAAAGGGACACAGTCTTCAGATTTTGAAGTTGTTTATAGCAGTCCGGTTGGTGGGACTAATCTTGTTTCTGCTTCGTTCCCTCTCCTTCACGTTCCCAATTGCTTTGTAACATTATTGTTTTCACATTTGCCCGACCAATAATGAATACACATAACGTAACCCTTGTCTGTCCATAGACTAACTCAGGTCCTGAATATCAACGAGTTCCTTGAGGACACGGGCTACACATAGTACATAGTGTGTTTGCATAACAACACGTTACAAACCCTGCATAAGTTAAATATTGAGAAGAATGTTGAGAAGAAGAAGGACAGGGGAATTGGTTTGCTTTCTTGCAAGGCAAGCTTTGCCATGTTCGAAGGCCGGAAGCGGTCATTAGCACACTTTCTGAAAACCACTTCTGAACCCTGAGGTGTAAAAAAACGCACCGACGCAATCCTGCAGACGTTGCAAAGAATTGAGAAGGCAAGGCATTTGTCGGATTTGCGTTTGTTCAGTTTCATATTATGTTCTGCAGGTGCTTCATCAACAAAGGATGGCAGGCCGCAAGGAGACGGCGCCAGTGACCATTTACGTCTCTCCGGCATGTCCAACTTTGAGTTTTGGTCCCTGTTTTTTTCTGTAGACAGTTCCTCCTTTTTTGTTCCTTTTGAGCTGTCCTTTTCTATTTTTCCTAAATGCGTAGCCAACGGTTCTCGTTTGTCTCTGGCGGTCTGGGGTAGAGAGTCTGTGTTCACGTGACGCTGCTTCCGGGTTTGCAACCGTTCGCAAGCGACCGAATCTAATCGATAAGGCCCTGCTGCTGGGGGAGGCTTTTGGAGGAGGTTTCTGATGGAAGCCTAAAGTGTCAGATCCGTGCGAAATAGCGTAGAAACATGTAGAAGTATTACTAGTTGGTAATTAAAAATAATCACGTGAAAACATGTGTTCTTTTTTTGTGGATGATTAAAGCAAGGTTTGCTTTGTTTATTGCTTGCTTTAGGCATTCTCAACTTTAGAAAACTTATAAAGCCAAACTGACTGTTTCTTGCAAAAAGGCCATGAGCTACTTCAAAAAGCCCAAAATCGCCAGAAATTTCACAGGCACTCGCGGCAAAGCTTTGAATGCATGGGACTTGATCAGAGCCCGCCTATAAAGGCCAGTCGCGGGCCTTCAGGGGCCACTGCCACAGCACAGGCCTGTAGAGGCCATAGCACGGGCTTATACGGCTGACTGTAAAGACCGTTGAACGTTTTCACTTGTGAGCCAGAGCAGCAGCGAGGGCAATCGCCATCATCACTTCCAGCTCAGTTGTCAGTTGGTGGTCTTCCACTGGCACGGTCACCTCACCGTGACCACTTGAACAAGTATACATCTATATGCATTTGCATGTTTCCCCAAACAGTGTGGTAACACTAGGGGTTCTTACGGTAGGTGTCAAGGGCCGTCCGGTTTGATGTTTCGCTTCGATATGTTCTCTCGAGTTCGATTTTCACCTTTGATCCGTGTTCTTGTTTTTGGTTTCAAGTGAGGTTCAGGGTGGTCGCGTGGGGCGTCGTATGTCGTTGTGCTCCACCCGCAATCGCGTGTTCCCGATCGAGGAGGACGGAGTTTGCAAAGGTTGCAAGGCCCTTCGCAGACTGGCAGGTGAGCTGAGGTTTAGCCCGCATACCTAGTTACTTTGAGGCAGTTCTCGGTCCTAGTTCAGATTTTGGAGGGAGCGTTGAAGGCAGCTGAAGGGCTTCGAGATCAGTCGCACGCTGCAGCTTAGCGAGGAGAACTGGTATCTAACATCCCCCCGCCTAATTCAGGACTGAGGAGTTTAGGGAGGAGCTTGACGACATCGAGCCATAGAGTGGAAGGCGCGCCGCCCTCAACACTGCCAGCTAGGAGGCTGCCTGGCCCTGGTGGCGGAGGCCTTCAGCTTGAGGAGAGGAGAGGACGAGGTAGGCCATAGAAGGTCAAGGCGTGATGATAGAGACCGAGGGGAACGAACAGAGAGGAAACGGGGGAGAGGCTGAGGATGGGGTTGGCTAGCCATCCAAAGTGGACAGGTGATCATTGGAGAAGTGAAGTTGGAAGAGGAGATGGTCAGAGCGCCATTCTTTGTAATGCAATCCTAGGATTAGGCAACCCCCCCCTATTAGTCTACCCAGCGTTCAGGCTCCAATAATAAACTAATTTGAACTATGAATTTCCACAGTCACCACCCTCTAATATTTTTTTCTTGGCTGAAACCCCCCCTATTAGTCTACCCCCTGTCCCCCCAGGAAAAACATAATTATTCAAACATATATATGCTTAATTAGTTTTGTTCTTTTTGCCTTTTCAATATCTTTTGGTCCATGGTGAAACTGATCTTCTGATCCACTCTTTTCCCATGCCATCTCTTGAGAGATAGCATTCTGATCCACCCTTCTCACATGCCATTTGGCATTCTTCCAGCTGATGCTCTCATCCATCCTCCTTATCATCCTTCTCATCCTGCTGCAGCAATCTGCGCAGCCATTGTATACTCATATGGGATCTTCCTGCCCAGCCTCTTCCGTGCATTTCCACACATTGCAATCCATACACCCACTGGAATACCTGCGCTTGCCACATGCCCCAATCCCATCCAACTCAATCTTGGTTTTGGCTTTCAAATAGGCTGCTGGGAGCTCATCCACCCTCAAAGCACCACCCTCATTCACCAATTTCCAAGCATCCTCCTGCATCTTATTCAACTTCTTATGCTCTGCCATCATCTTCCCAGCCAATTCTGCAACCTTCTCCCTCTCCAACCTCATCTTCTCCCCATTCTTCTTGTCCTTCTCATCCAGGGCCTTAAATCATTAATCCTCTTATTTCTCTCAACTTGCAGCTGCTCACCCACCTTCCTCATCTTGCTGATCCAGTTCTGGGCAGCAACCCATGGCCATCCAATGGCTGCTGGCCCATAGTCCATGGCTTCAGCAACTTCCTGCTCCATATAAGCCAATACAAATACACCACACTGATTGGATCCCTTCTTCTGCCTTATCACCCCATTGTTCCTCTCTAGGGATGGCCTATCCAAGAACTTCTCACCAATGATGCCCAAACTCAGCAATGAAGCCAATAGCAACTCAGCACTTTCCTTGGATAAATCTGATGGTATTTCCAATGTCTCATAGTACCTCACCTGCCTATCAAAAGGCACATCCTTCCTGAGATCCAATACCAGCAAGGTCCAATGCCCACCAGCTGGGATGGGGATCAGGAAGACCTTCTCCTTATCTGCAAATAGCCTTTTGGCATGCTCTGATACCTTCTCCCAAGGTGCCATCAAGTCCTTGTTCCCATGCTCATTCTGCTGATGGCCAATGAGGCTGTAGCTCATGGAAGGGTGCATGAACCTCACGGAATCCAACTCATTCATGCTCTTCCCATTGAAGACCATCCTGAGCAAGGCCCATCCCAAAACCAATGTTTGAGTATCAATCCCATCCTCCTTGATACTCTTCTCTGATATGATCTCCACATCACCATTCTGATCAATATAGTCCAGGTCCAATGTATATAGCCCAGCCTCATAGAGCATTTGCAGCTTCACATCCCTGGTCATACTCAGCTGAGGCCATCTCCACACCTTCTCATCCACCCTTACCTTGGTGATCCATTCTTTTTTGACCCATGCCTTTCTGTCACCATTTGATGACGCTGATGGCTGATAAGCCGATGAGCCAATCTAACAGCAAGACTCATCCAACAACAGCCTTGCAATCACCTCATTGGCAAACCTTATCACTGCTCATGTGGGTTCCCATGCAAATCTCATCATTTCACATCCTATCTCAAAAGCTCCCTTGGAAAAACAACCCATGGATCAATCTAACATGAACACTCATCCAAAAGTTCTCATGTGGGTTCCCGTGCAAACCTCATCAGTTCAACTACCCCATAGTTAAGTCTCATTGGAAAAACAGCCCATGGATCCAACCCTACCCTTGCCCATCAGCATTGTTTTTTTTCAAACACATTTATGCTTATCACCCCACATTCTCTATGGAATGAGGGGGGTTCCTCATGTTGTGAAACTGGGTTCCCCATGCCCATGCTGGGTCTCATCCCCATTCTTAGGCTCATAGTATGCCATGCTGCCAGCATTGGTGAATCCACATCCTATCCCATAGGTTCCATTGGACCAATCCTGCTTATCCCCAATGCTCTCACCCAATGGCTCTTCAGGCCTATAGTCCATATCCCCCCATGTGGGGAATCTCTCCAAAGAACCTGATGGAACCCATGGAATGATCCAACCATAGATACACCAATGATCTGGTGCTGCAGGGTGATCACCATCATGCCCCAAACTCATAAAGAATCTCTTCTTCATCCCATCATTCTTGTCCACATACACATACATGTAGTCATGCTGTGACAATCCCAGCATACCCTCAATGATCACCCATACATTGTCCAGCGCATGGCTTCTCATGATACCACCCAAGCTCAACAGCTCATTGGTCATCTCCTCTGCTGAGTGCACCATGGCTCAATACCCACCAATACCCACCCAAACTAATAGCTTGTGCCAAAATATGCCCATGAATCATGGAACCAATGGCGTGCTCAGCAGGTTCTGATGTCCCCATCATCCCTTTCATTCCAATTCTCCCACATACTAAATCCCTTTCATCCCAACCCTTCCAAATACTAATTCCCTTTCATTTCAATTCTTCCAAATACTAATTAACTTTCCTTCCAATTCTTCCAAATACTAATTCACTTTCATTACAATTCTTCCAATTACTAATCCCCTTTCATCTCAATTCTTCCAAATACTAATTCCCTTTCATTCCAATTTTCCAATGCATGCTGCATGCTCCAGTCTCATCTCCTCCTCCTCCATATTGGAAGGCCCATCTCCCTATACTCATTGGCAATGTGCCAATCTCTATCAGATTGGGTGTCATAGGCCATCAAATCATACCAATCTTCAACAGGCCACCAATCTGTCCATCCAGAATAGGCATTCACTCTCACCACATAGAGCCTCCATTGCCCATTCCTCCACCAAGCCCTAATATGCTTTGATCCAGTTGGCGTGGCTCTGATCTCTCAGATCTCTCATCAAATTTGTGCCAATAAGCTCTCATGGATCTCATGATGAAAGGGAATTAGTATTTGGGCTCTCATGGATCTCATGATGAAAGGGAATTAGTATTTGGGCTCTCATGGATCTCATGATGAAAGGGAATTAGCATTTGGGCTCTCATGGATCTCATCATGAAAGGGAATTAGTATTTGGGCTCTCATGGATCTCATCATTCCATCCCATCTCATCTCCTCCTCCTGTCATCATCAGGTCATCCCCACTATTAGGGGGATGTGATCTGAATCTCCAAAACCTCCAATCTCAGACCTTGTTGACCTTCTAGGGGGGGGGGGGCGTTGATTAATCCGAGGATCGCATTAATTCATGTCCATCAACTGGACGATGGGTCGTCCACGATTTCCCCTGCAACTACAAATTCGGCCGCTTCAAGGAAGTTGACTTCTTTGACCCAGGTGCTGAACACGATATGTGGTGCTCCACTCCGCCAAGCTGCAGGGAACTTTTTCGCCCACTTCCAAGCCTTAGAGGTGTTGCCTGGTTTCCTTCTAGATCCAAGGTTGCTGGGCTCTTCCGGAGGCAAACGGTGGGCTTCACCTTGCCAGGAGTACCACCGGATCGATGTCAACGACGAGGCGCAGATGGCACCCTATATGCAGGTATGGTCCGAGGAGGAGTGGCGGCAGGCCCGAAGAACCTGCCTCGAGATACTGCGCCAAAGGTCAGGGAGGCTGCAACAGAGGCTGCAGAGAGGCGAGATGGAGGTTTGAGGTCGCCGCCTTTAGAAGGAGGCAGAGAGGCACAGCAGGTCAGCTTCGCCGCCGACTTAGCACCCTGGACTGCCGCTCGGAAATTTACGAAAACCAAATTGCGCTCAAGAAACTTCCTACGGAAATGTTTAATTAAGCTGAATCCATATGATAATGATGCCTCTTGACACGCAAGAAAATGGTGTAAAATCACTACCCCCTTAGCGTGCCTGGGCCCCCGGCCCCACAGAATCAAATTTGTAACTTGACATTTTCGATGTTCTGGGGATAGCATTATATAGCCATATTGGGGGTTCGAAATTGTTAGATCTACTGTAGGGTTCAATGAGAGAAACGAGAGAATGCTGCCATTAGGGGAGCGCAACATAGAAGCCCAGAGACCAGCCATCGACTTGCCGCAGATTTTGAGCACGCAGGGGTAGGCATTATAGTAAAGAATGCCCTGTTAAATTCCATTACGCAAGTACACCAAAAACTGGCCGCATTATGTCCATCACTTTTTCATGTCACGGCTTTGATGTTACAATGATATGCGCATATGCCCCACACAGTGGCCGTTCAACAGAGGACAAGGAAATGTTTTACGAACAGTTATCTGAAGAAATTACATCTTGTCATGGAAGGTATCTCATTGGTGGTGACTTTAGTGCTAGGATCCACTACGTACGAGAGGTTGACGCTGATGTTTGTGGTCCGTACATCATTGGGAGAGGAATGGAATACCTTAACACCATGAACGACCAAACGAAAGAAAGCAGGGCACTTTTCTTGGGTTGGTGCAAAATGCATCATCTCAAGATCCTGAACAGCCAGTTTTCGAAACCATTAGACAGGTTGATAACATACAAAGAAAAAATGAATGTTTCTAATTTGGGCCTCCGTTTGATGCTGACAGATATGCGCAAATCGACTACTGGCTGACAAATTCGACATGGAAAACTGCATGCACAGATGCCCAAAGCCGGCGAGACGTTCCTTTTGATTCGGGTCATTTAGTAGTAGAAGCGCAATTCGAGATGAAACCCAACAAGCGCGTGCAAGAGCCCAAGACGTCTAAGAAATTCCTGAAGCCTACTCTAGCTCAGTGGAATTGTTTTAACACCGAATGCGCACAAACTTTGTCACGGCAGTCTTTGTGTCTTAGTAAGTTTGTTAGAAAGTATCTTGCGCGCTGCTGAAAACAATTTGGAAGCTATACCAAAAGACAAGTAAAAAAATATAGATCAAGAAACACATGGGCAAAAATTGACGAAAGAACCAACTTAGGAAGGACGGAGCGTCTTCGCAAGAGGTACGACACTTGAACAAGGAAATCTACAAAATGGCGCGCGCAGACCGTCGCAATCATCTGATTGAGCAATTTAATGAAAACCCTCAGGACCCACACAAGAAAGGACTGTGGAAGGCAGTAAAAGGCTTAAAGAGGAAATTTACACCGCAATATGTTCAGATGAAAAACGAACATGGAAAACATGTGCCTATAATAGAGAGGGCGCAGACCATTGCCAATTACCTCGAGTCAACTCACTGGAAGAACGATTTAAACGCTGGAATGCCGGATGCTGCGCCAATCCTATTGAATAACGGAGCTGACGAGAATGTCTTCACTCTAGAGGAGTTACGCAGCATTAAGATCATTTAAAAATAATAAACAACCAGGCCCAGATGACCTCCAAATGGAATTGCTGAAATGGTTGAATGCTGCCAACCGACAGCTCCTATTAAGGTTGATTAACAGCTGGTGGCAAAGTAAGGAAGCACCTACAGAGCTCTTTCTTGCGAGGGTCGTCCCCCTCTTCAACAAAGGAGATACTGACAACGCGGCCAATTATAGGCCCATCTCTCTTCTGAGTAGCCTTTACAAAGTATATATGATCATGATACGTCAAAGAATGCAAAATGCTATTAATGATGCTCTATCCAATACACAATACGGATTTCGGCCTCAGAGATCTACATCCCACGCTATTTATATCATTCGCAGGCTCCAAGACTACGCCGAGTCAAAAGGTGCCCGATTGAGTCTAGCCCTTTTAGATTGGGAAAAAGCTTGCGATAAAGTGCCACACGATAAACTAATTGTTGCTTTTCAAAAAATGGGCTTTAGTCAACATTATTGTGATATCATTCAAGACTGCTATAAAAAGACAAATCTTCTGGCATCAGGCAAGGGTGCCTCCTTTCCCCTTCTTTGCTTGTTTTTGTGATGTCTTGTGTAGATTATGAGATTCGCTCCAAAATCAGTCGTTGGGTACACAATGGCAGAGTCCCAAATCTGGATTTTGATTTAGTTTACTATGCAGATGATACCATCCTCTTTTCTACTGACAACAGGGCATTAAACGAATTGTTAAAGCTCACGGAAGCTATCTCCTGCAAATACGGCGGACTGCGGCTAAACAAAGACAAGTGTGTGGCGATACAAATGAACCATGAAGGTTGGTCCATGTTGAAAACCTCGAACCATTACCCAAGAAGTTTGAAGCGACTTATTTAGGCAACGAAATTAACAAGGAAGCAAACATTCGACACAAAATCTTGAACAAAATGCAAGAAGTAAGACAAACCTGGTTCAAATTGCTGCCGTACTGGAAGGCAACAAATGCGAACGTGAAATGGCAACTGCTTATTTTTGATGCGGTTGTTCGATCAAAATTGTTATACGGACTTGAAACTATACACCTCACTGACGCCATGCTGAAAAAATTGATGCCTTCCAACTACGGTGCTTGAGGAAAATCCTCAAGGCTCCGTCAACATTTATAGACAGAAGAAACACAAATAGAGAGGTTCTGAATAGATGTACAGCGCTGGCATATCCAAACCGAGGCGACCGACGTGAGTTCGAACTATTCAGCAAATCGTATCTCCGTAGGAAATCTAAATTAAATTATTGGGTCATGTACTCAGGGCTAGCCACGACGATCCTATGTGCCAAATTTCTTTCCAGCCCGATTGTGCAATCAGAGTTTCTTATGGGAAAAAACGAGTCGGTCGCCCGAGACAAAACTGGCTGCATTACGCCAAAAAACATACTTTTGAACATATTCTAGGTGGTTATGATTACACAGAAACTGTTGCTGAAGACTCACGAATTTATGATGCAGCCCTCACTCGAACTTTCTGATATGTAAATATGCCACGGTTTCTTTTGGCTACGCCAACGCCCTGCATTATATGACTGAAGTCAGTGCGGGGTACGGCTGGGAAAAAAACTGTAGGGTTCAGGTACCCTATGTGACGATGTTTCTTTTTGTTGCCTCTGACAATACCCTTGGAAAACAGGGGAAGGGGGGGTATGACTTGTAACAGTTTATGGGCAGGTGCCTCGCAATAACAAGTTGCAATTTAATTTCCCCCCTTTGCCGGCTTTGCTTTGGAATTGCTTGGATCTTTTTGATTGAGCGACATGTCTTTGGTAAGTCTTTCAAGCTCCTCCCTCTCAAGAAATGTTGACGCCAGCGCAAGCAAAGTGCACAGCGGCGTGCCAGGCCATAGTGTACCCAGAAACCAGTGTTACAATTAGATCACCCCCCTTCCGCACGTGAAGCTACTCCAAATTTTGAGGCCAGCACGCACAAGGAAAAAGACTGCACAGCGCGTACATGCGTGTACTGTAGCGCACCCAGAAACCCATAGTACAATTAGATCCCCCTTCCCCCGCTCAAGGACGTGTTGAGGCCGGCGCGTGGAAGGAAAAAACACTGCATGGCGCGTGTGTGACTTGGAGTTTGGAGGCTTGACGCTTGACTTCTGGAGGGAGTCTCACCTTTGTCGCATGACTTTCGGAGGATGTCCGGTCTGAAACGTTTGCGCTGGAGAGTTGACGCTTGACCTTGCCAGGAAGTCTCGTAAGAAACGCTCATTTTCGAGACTTGACGTGTGACATTTCGAGGAACTGAGTCTCGTACGAAACGCTTGTTTTCGAGACTTGATGTGTAATAAGTCTGGTACGAAACGTTCATTTTGGGGCATGACCCGTGCAATTTGGGGGAAGTTTTCTCGGATGTCGCTGCACCTTGCGGTTTGGCACGGCCTTGGTGGAAACTGCGCTTAGGCGGCTCTGTGCTATTGGCGGGAAGGAAGCATGCGTGTGTACACGCTGCGTGTCGCTGGTGAGCGGTATGGTTGGCGGTGTCGCGTCACATGGCTGCATCTAGTTTATGGTACACCGTTCGGCGAAATTACGACCGTGATGACCGTGGTGTTGCCATATGGTGTGACGCAGCCTCGGTGGCAAGTTCATCTGCCCGGCTCCATGCCAGTGGGGCATGGATTCATGCGCGCAGACGTGGCATGTCGCCGGCGAAAGAGTGTCCCACAAGAGGCAAGAGAGTGCACTACAAGAGCGCCCACGAGGGTGCCCCACACGAGCGTGCCACAAGAGCGCACCAAAAGAGTGCCCTACAAGAGTGTCCCGCGAGAGGGTCCGACAAGAGTGTCCCACCAAGTTGTCAAACAATGTTTGGCCAATGCTTGGCTTTGTTTTTCGAGTGCGTGTGCGCATTCGGGTTTGTGGGTTCCATGTTGTTCACTTGTGACAGGTTCAAACTCCTGAAAAGCCACCTTTTCATGCACCTTCTCAAGCATGGCAGGAACGCGCGGAATTTGTGGCACTAAGATTATATTGAAGTATACATATAAAGCTTTGTTCTTGCAGGACGAACCAGCAGAGGACGCTTGCGAGAATGCAGATTCGTGGAAGGAGTGTGGTGAGGTACCGCCCTCAGTTTCTGGTGTGCTTGTATGTGTGCGCGCGAAGTTTTACGCAAAAATTAAGAGGGTTTCCCGAGTTGTGTATACTACCCATGTTGCGGTTAATCAGAACATTGTAAAGTGATAAGCATATAGATAATAACGTCAAAAGTTGTACATTATAGGGAATAAGACAAAGGGAGTGTTACTCAAACTCAGGTGTGTTTTTGCGTGTGCCTTTTTGGGACGTGTTTTTATTGATTCTTGTTGGTCAAAAACAATTGAAATATTTTAGAAAAACAACCTGCATCCTTTAAACCAAAACCTGCGATTGGCATGCTGAGAACAGGGAGATTCTAACGAACAAGGAAGGGATTCAGACGCATTGTCAAGTCTGGTTTGCCGCTGCCCTTTTCTAAAGTGAAAATGCACCCCAAAGTGAGGCCTGGTGATTCTGCTGTAGGGCACTTGCTGGCCCAGAAGCCACGTGCCTCTAATTTCCATAGAATCAGACGCAAAGCAAACTCAATTTTAATTTCAACGCGTGGATGCACAATAAGTGCACGTTGACTACGCAAAGAATAGAATATATTTGGACACCCTCAGTCTGGCTGCCAAAGGTTATCGGAAGGGCAGACATTCATGTTCAAGACCAATAGATTTGACGAAGCCTGACATGGTCAGGTTGCAAAGCTTCAGAACAAAGCAATGGGTGCTTTGGGGAGGCCAAGCAGGTTTTATGGCCACTGTTTATGGCCACAGGAACGATCACTTGAAGCAGCTTCAAAAAGTTATTTATAAGGTCAAAAGAAGCAAGACGCAAAGCGCACAAACAAGCAGCATAAATTGATATAACATTGTTGTTGAATGGAAAACTTGTGCAACATTAATGAAATGATTTTGACATTCACCTTTACCCACGTGACAGAATGGAGATTCAGGGCATTCTGCAACATATCGTGTACACTTTGACTCTTGGCACATGTAGACATCGCGCAAGGCAGCGCCGGATCAATTTGCAAAATTCTGCCTGTAGAACACTGAGGCAGAGTTTACTTTGAGATACCTTGAGTACTATACAGTACACCTTTTGTCAGCTTGCCGAAGTTTCACCCCAGTACGCGCTCGATAGTCAGACGGATCCAAAGCATCTGGAAAGCATCCACACAGGTGGATTCCCAGAAGTAAATCAACCCAGCGTTGCAACCCAACAAGGTTGTGGATTCTAAGGCCTCAATATATCATAATCTGTTGACTCCACCAGCAACAACCAAACAGAGCCAACCGTCACCAACAAAGAGACCCTCTTTCATCCACACATACGGAAATCCCGCGCTCCACCCTTGATCTTGGAGGGACAGCAATCACAACCAGTCAACGAGAGGTTCATTTCTTGACTGGAATTTAGGGATGTCTGAGTTCACTGCCACGTGTATGAGGAGTTCAGACAAAGAAGAACTGACTGGGTTGAATCCTGATTCTTCAAGCGCTTCTTACTCTTTTGAGCTGACTCAAGAAGGGTGCTCTCAGCCGCAAGAGTATATCGTCCTTCAGTCAAGACACTGATGATCAGACTCTGTATGGTGATGTGTTTAGTTAGGCCGTCCGCTAAATTGCGAGGGCCTGGGATCCATCGCAAGCGCGCATGTCGACCTTCCGTGCCTTCCCTCAGTTGACTCTTAAAGGTATCTCTGAGAGCTGCAAGATCAAGAGCAAGAATCATATCTCGAGGAAGGCCTCTCTCTGCCGAGATGTGAACGTACACACTTCGACAGTCAGTTGCGGCCAACAAGGGAACTTTCAGAGTGCATTTCTCCCACTGACGAAAATTGAAAGCAGGATCCGTGAGTTCACAGAAACAAGCCCGCAAGAATTCTCCGCGCTCAACTGCCTTGCAAAGACCCATGGACTCGGTGGCTATGGACGATCTCGCCACTCTTTTCAACCGATGAGACAACCAAAACATGCAAGTTGCGGAGACGTTCTTCTCCAAGATCTCTGGTGTTGAAATCAGCAAAATCAACCTCCTTGTGATCCTTGTCGAGGCATCTTTGCTGGACTAGTATCGCTGATGGTGACAATTACTGCTCTACTCAACTCTATACCTGGGATCAGGATCTCATACTTATATTGCTGAGCTCTCTTCACCAAAACGTTGGCATGTTTCACTGTACCGGAAGTGGCTTCTGACAAGCTCTGTTGAAGCCAGCTAACTTCGAAGCTAAGGTCAGGACGTGTTGACTTTGCTAACCAACATGAAGCTCCAGCTGTTCTTCTGCGATCTTGGCGAGTAGTCTCTGACACTGGTTCATGTTCGCTGTTCAATTGCTGTTTCGAAATGAGAACTCCTGGTATTTTGTCAGCATGATCAGGGTTGGAGATTTTCACAGAAAAGTCGTCCAATTGCTTCACATCCGTTTCCTAAACGACAATTTGCCTTTCATACGTGTGATCACAGCTTCAAAGGTCACTGTCCCCGCGATAATGATGTCGTCTACGTGAACAGCTAGCACCCCCATCAATTCTGTTTTGTTTCCTTCATTGTCTCTTGCCCAGTACATGAAGACACATTGACTGTCATCTCTTCCAGCCCAAGGTCTAACAAGAGTGCCCTCAGCTGTCGCCACCGCAAGCGGGGAGCATTGGCTAGGCCGTACACCATTTCGAACAAATCGTCAGGACCAACTCCGTCCAATCCTTCTTTTGACGGTCTCAGGTACAATGCTCCGATAGTCATAGACACCTGACAGCCTGACAGAAAGGCTGTTGAAATATCTCCAGCTTGAAGCCCCCACTGGCTCCCACTTGTAACTTGCGCCAGGAGAAAAACAAGATTCACTCCCATGGAATCAGCAGTGGGTGCGTCTGTTCGGAGCAATTCGATGTCAGGGTCTAGATGACCTCCACCATACTAATCGGGACTTAGCAATGAGTGTTTCACCTGAAGCATCTTCGTTGGTCAGGATGAACCGAGTGGGCAAAAGTCGAGACTTTGCAATGTTCCTGGCATCCTTACCTCTAAGAACTCGTACTGCTCCGAGATCGAGGTTGAAGAGTGCCAATTGTTCTGGAGTCATTTCACTTACTTTCCATTCTCGATATTTCTTCTTCTTGCTGTCAGGCAACTGATCTCGACTCAACGGTTCATCCACGCCAGCAAGAAAAACTAGTTGTTTGTGTCTGCAGTTGCAACGAGAACAGTGGTGAGCAGTCCAAACTAGTTTTGCAGCAGAGTGTTCACAATTGTTTCCCTTAAAGTGCTGTTCCAAATGCTGCAAGTACAATGCTTCAGCAACAAACACATCTTTCGTCTTGAGGGGGTCGTTTCCTGGCAAGAGAGCGACTGAACTTACTGGAATGGCTCGCTTTCTGAGCTCCTACCGCACCTCTAAATTTGCTTCTTTCTTTCAAACGGTCTTTCCAATGAGGTATGGGAGCATAAGGAACGTCATAGCTCGGCGTTTCCAAATAAGGGCCGTCAGTTTGAGGAGTGGGGAATGGAAGGATGATCGTAATCTTCCTCACATGACATGTCTAAATAAGAACTAGGTCCAACATGTGTCCTGGAAGTCTGTTCAGGGAGTGACGGATCTATTTCCAGCTCCTGAGACACTTCTTTGGCTGGTCCCTCAAGTCCTGCACTCTGCTCTAAGGGCTCAACAGTTGGATCTAAATGTTCTGACGATAGAGCCATTTCAGAATCTGAGGAACTCTAAGGCTGGTGCTAAGGTCAAGACAGGTTCTCCAGTTTCGTGCATGTCTTCGGCGCGATTTAAGGCTGCTTGGTACTACATTCTTCTGTCGTAACCTCTTGTCCGGGTTCAAGTGGAGTCTGGTTCTGATCTAGGGTCGGAGCCGCTGTACCTGTCAAGTCAACGTAGCCACGGTTCTTGGACCCTTGTCCTGATAACTCTTTCAAATGTTCATCCAAATGCTCCTGAACTATTGATTGTCCGATGACAAAACACTGTCACTGGCATGTCTGCAGTGAACAATCATCTGTCTCCAAGCGGGGAACAGGGAACAGGCTGAATCACCCCATGTTCCAGCAGCTTGTCTTCCCAACGCTTGAATACAAAAAGCCCCATGACAGTCTTTTGGCATCCACTGTCAATGATTCCGAGGGCTTCCGGACAAAGGCACGAGCTTGAATCTGACGTCAGCGCTTCCGTCAGCCACACCTGATCAGCAATTGCGACCATGTTCGCGGCAAAGGCTTTCTTGGCCGCTGCCTGCGTCTCCTGATACTTCGGGCGCACAGGATCTTTCTTCCAGCGCCCTTGAGCTCCGCATGCTCTACAGGTGCTTGTTGCCTTTGCCTGATCCAACTCTTGCTGGCGTTCTTCGGAAGACTGACCTTGTGGATGCTTGCTCTTGAAGAAGCCTCTTGACTTGAACTTTCCTTTCTGCTGAGATTTGGCAGTGCGATAGGCAGCATAGACATCAATGCCTTTTCGCTCAGCTGCTCTCACTACCTGCATCGCCTCAAGGACTTCGTCAGGGGCAGTGTGCAGTTCGGCCTTTTCGTCGTCATCTCCTTCTAAACTACTGTCATCTTCAGATTCTTCAGAATCCGGCTCATCACCCTAGGAAGGGAGGCTAACATGGCATGTCGGGTGTTCCCTTCAGTCTGATGGATTGAGCCCGACCGTCGATCGTAGACAGCATTCAATCCAATCCGCTGACTTGGGAACAAGCGCTTGAGAGCATAGGCTATGTCCCGGGGGTCGATCTTCTGAACAGTGGATGGCAGAACGAATTCTCTTCAACTGTCAGTCCAGCACGCCTCAACAACATCCATGAGAAAAACTTGTCGCTCGCGAACATGTCGTCATCTTCATCTTCTAACTCTCTTCGAGCCTCTTTCAACCGTCGCATGTACCTGGACATCGACTCTCCATGAGCTCGACGGCACTGCGCAAACTCTTCGGTTACTTCGTCAAGACGGTCTTCTTGAAGCCCTAGGTACTCATCACCCAGGGTGTCTAAAAGCAACTCCTCCCTTGTCTTTCAACCGTCTTGCGCTCATGTTCTTGGCGATTTCGAGGGCCTCACCTGACAGATGTAACTGTAAGGCCAAGCCGGTACCATCTTTGCCAACGATTTTGGTGTACCGTTTGACTGCTCTGCGGTACTCCTTGTAGTGCTTCTGTACACCATCAAAGGAGGGAATCTTCACATTGCGACTGTGGTCAGATCGCTTCTTGGCTTTCGTCTTCTTCTTCTTCTTCCTTTTGTCTTCCGAGCTACTGCTGTCACTGCTCTTGGAACTCGAAGATGAGCTTGAGGAGGAAGATTCTTGTTTGAACGAGAACGGGAGGCCTCATCTAAGGGAGGCTCTGTGGTGCGCTTCTTCTTCTTCTTCTTCTTCGTTTCCACTGGTTCTGCTTCCAATGGCTTCTCTGTGGCCACTCCCTTTTCCGTTGCTGTGCCACCGTGCTGCATGGTCACTGTGCCACACAGATTCTCCTCTATCCGATCTCGCCTCGTGAGAGGTGGGAGTCTGTGCAACATCGATGGACTGGCGGGAACCGGAACCAGCTCTCAGCTTTCGACATGCTCAATCAACGCGCTCGCACCGACGGCCGATGGACAAAAGTGGGCTCAACGTCAGCCTTCAAAGACAAACCCCAAAACCGCTCTTCTCACACGGATGGCACGACGACCGATCCGAGTGAGCCAGAGCTCCGCTACCGATGTTGACTTTACCGGGGGCAACCAAACAGAGCCAACCGTAGCCAACGAAGAGACCCTCTTTCATCCACACATACGGAAATCCCGCGCTCCACCCTTGATGCTTGGAGGGACAGCAATCACAACCAGTCAATGGAGAGGTTCATTTCAACATAATATATAGCGTTTACTTCGGGAGAAGTGACCGCTTGCTAAATCAATCCCTTGTATTTTGATTGTCCCTGGCACAGCCACCCTCCAAGTATCGGAAAACTGTTTCCGTCACACCCGGGGAGCTTGTGAGATAAAGTCGAGTGACGAGGGGGACACAATTCCTGGTGGTGACAAAACAAGACGACTCTTGACAATAAGTCGCCATACATGATTGAAGAGTTTAATAAGTGATGTGAGATTCCGTGCTTTGCAGGTTGCTTTGCCACTCAATTTGGCCACTGCTGAAGATGTGATGGCGCTACTGCGGCTTCATTTGAGACTGCTTGTACCCTAGACGGAGAGTGTTGAGGGATGAGACTGCCGAAAGCAAAGATTCGGAACAGCCCAGGCCATTCGATACATGGGTTTCTGTGTTTTATATTGGTCCACCACGAGAAGGAGGTGCAGGCGTCTTGCCATGTTTGCCGGTCTGACACGGTGCTTGAAAAAGGTCATTGTACCATAGGGTTTCTACCATATAGGCGCAAGCACGCTACAAGGGGCTCCTGGCCTTACTACTAAGAACAAGAAACTACTAGCAACAAAGGGCATCGCTACTAGGAGCAAGGGTGACGATTTGCAGTTGTCCTTCATGTTTTTCCGGACATGCCGGGACATTATGGTAGGTCCAAGATCTGTCACACTGCTTCGTGGAGAGCGTCCTGGTGAAGGCAATACTACAGTGCTTTTCCTTAGAACTCTTTTCAATATGTTTTGGTATGGACCTTGAAGTATGCGCTGGCTGAGGCGATGCTATCGTATTTGTCAAAGCCAAATGCGGAGCTCAAGTGACAAGCTGAGAGTGGTGGGATTGCCAGCACCACCAGATGTAGAATATGGAGTCAAGTGGATCCATGATTTGCGGCCAGGTTGTTTGTCAAGAACCTTCGGAAGCGACCCAGCAAGCTGGTGAGACAACCCCGCGCATTCCTAGAGGATGTTCATGTCAACATTTATTTTGACGACAATGCTAGACCTGAGTTTGCCCTTTTGCCAATGCACATGCTCTACGGCATGAAAAGCGCATCAAATGATTTGTACCACTGATTGTTCCTTTGGTGAGTTCTCCTGTTTTCTGTGCTTTGCAAGTGTCCCTTAGTACGAGAAGCAGTTTCATCAAAAGCATCCGTCTATGCCTGGTGCCTCAAACGGTTTGTAGAAAGAGAGTTTGTGATAGTTTATGGCACAGGACGCGAGGCCGAAAACACATACGGAGCCTTTAAAGGGCCTCCGTGCTGTGGTATGGTCATATTCAGATTCAAGTTCAATAAGGATGCTGTGTCAAGAAGTCCGGTGAAACTCAGGCAAAATCAGACTGGCACGTCTCACGCTTGCCTTGCAGTTTATAAATAATGCACAAGCTGTGCACGGGCCAGCTGTGGAAGGACACTTCAAAAGAGGATGATGATAGAGACCCCGACATAATCGTCGTAGAACACCAAGCATGATTATATAACGCCACCAATCACGCCGCTCACCAGCAACACCCGCACTACACCTGCAGGTTTTCTCGTTACCCAACAGAACGGAGCCACACAAACGGACTCTCCCTACACCTCGCCAAACTGCATGGCGCAGAGACATCACCAATGTAATGACTGGTACACGTTACTCTAAACTCTAAACACACGGAAAACTCAGTTCTCATCCCACGGATCCTTGAAGCTACTCCGCACATCTTTGTGCTCGAAGTTGCTACTTCTCGGTACACAGTTCACAGAATCATACAGAATCTACTTCATGCAGAATAGTGCGCAAGCACTATGTATTCACATGTCAAAGGTGGCAGTTCTGAGCCCGACGCTCCTAGAAGCTATTCCGCGAACGACGACATTTCTGCCGAGACCATAGCTCCTAGCCCCCCGTGTTGAAGCTGTGGAGATTGAAAAACACAACATCCGGAATCCGGAAGAGTAGGAAAACACTTGTGGAGTGACTTTACATCAAAGAGAATGAGATGCTCGAGTTCTTTTCTCAAACCAGGGCCACAACTCATTTGTGACACTGTCATCAGTTTCCAACGAGATGTTGGAGCTTTTGCTGGCCTTGTCCGAGATGAAGACTTCTAAGACACACATTTCATGCGAGATATCCTACAACGCAGCAATTTTGCAAGACATCTGAAGGTGGAAGATGTGAAAGTAACAGAAGAATCAGAAGAGCTGAGCAAAGCAAAGCAGAAATAGAAGGGTGTATAAAGAGCGGAAGAGGAAGTCTCTCCCGTGCTCAGATCGTCAACTTCCATTTTTAGAGGGAGGTGTTCAAATTGCTTCCTTTGCATGTCATGCATGTCTAACTCCACCCATGTGTTCATTGACCTTCTTTCTGACTCTACTCTGCTGTACTGTCCTGTGCTTTTCTCCTCGTGACATTTCTAAATGGCCGTAACACGGAAGTGTCCCATTTCTCTTCTAAATATATACATAAACTATAATAAACGTTGGTTTGACAAAGTTCTAAGTTCTGTGTCTGTGCGTCTTTTTGAATCGGAACATGTACACAGTGTAAGCCTCATCAAAACCTATACCCTATACAATCAAACTGTGCCAGCGTGCAAACAGCCGTGACGAATTGGATCTTGAAGGCTGAGACATTTGAGAGAAGAAATTGTGAACATATTTGGTCAAAGATGTATTTCTTGCGCCGCTAGTTCTTCATAGTTGGCTTCGGGCCTTCGGGTGCAAGCGGCACAAGAGGTTCGTTCGCAGAACTAAGGGGATTCATTTTCGTTCGCACTCGCTCACACTCGAACTGCTTGGGAATAAATCAAGATCATATAGAAGTATATAAGTTTATAATATATATATATATGTACATTATTGAATTGTACATTTAAGTCAGTTTCTATCAGTAAGCATCCGGCGTCACAAAAAGCTAGAAAGCGATTGACCAGATCCATGATGACATCCTGAAGAATATATATAGATTAGTACAAGGATATGTTAAGGGACTATGCATAGAAATTACATGTAATTAGTGGAACTTCAGTGTGGACTTTGGCTTGGGAACTGCAGGAATTTCAGAATTCCATATTGTCGTGAATTTTCATGTCATATGCTGGTGATCTTTTGATGTTCCCTTCATTGCCTCATTTGAGCCAGACTTGCTACTTAAAACGACGACTGGCGCATTCGATTATTTGAGATATTGGAATCTGAGAGGAGAATTTTGTAAAGATCTGACAAACGATGGTTCCAAGGACATTAATAGCATATTTTCCACCAAAGGGCAGAAGCAAGTGCATAGTGGTTGAATGTGTTGTGTCGCACAGTGGTTTTGCGGCGGTGGATTGCTGTCACTCTTGCTGGCTTGAGTAGTGGCTTGTCGTCATTTTGATGATAATCTGATAAACACGGTTTGTGCTGACATGTGCTGACCCACGGAGATGTGTGGTAATTAATTTGTCGAGATCTATATATGGTGTAGTTTGCGGATCTTCAGGCAGCACAGCGGCAACCTGACAACGATTGCAGTGCAGAATGAAGTACTTAAACTTAATGTAAGGTAATCACAAGTGGTTTTGTTCCGTGCGAGATTTCCACCGACAATGCCAAGACCAGGAAGGGGGCTCACCAGTGTGTTGGTTGCCTTTTGAACCGCTCAAGTTCTTTTTCTGGGCAAGCTTCGTTTTTGGCGGTTTTTGTGCACACAGCTGCTGGCTCTGACGTATTTGTCCATATGTGCGGTGGCCTGTGCGGAAGTTACTGTATGTCATATACTTTGGCATACCGTACAGGATATACTCCGACAGAGTGTGGAAGGGCTATGAGCCGGCATTGAAGATTCAAGTCATACGTTTGTGTTTCTGCCTCTGCCGCATGCAACATATTGGTTCCTGCTTCACAACCAGTACATCCAGCTAATTCTGTTTTGGTTTGATGCCTTCCACAAAATGTTTCACTTCAGCTGGTGAGGAGCGTGACGGGCTTTTCGCACAACGAAGTGGGGCTTCGTGGGGTTTCAATCTCAGTCACCTAATAACACCTATGACACCTGTGGGATGTTGGTTGCTGTTTTTGGCCTTTGAACGTGATTGTTGCTGGATGTTGCCGGCGATATTTGATGATTCTTGGACCCCTCTTTTCAGCTCACTGAGTCTCGCACCTTTTGGCCCTTAGCATTTTTGCCATTTGCGCTACGTACTAGTGGCTAGCAAATTTTAATATACAAATTGTATAAAGTACTACTGTAGTATTTTTGCTGAGGCTTGGATTGGGAAACACAACTGGTCGGTGAAGGTGAAAAGCTGCCGCCCCGTCCAATGGCATCACCAACATGTTTATTGAAAGAGATTAAAGAGAGCATGGAGAGATATGGGAGACAAAGTGGCACTTCGGCTGTCAGATGTGAAAACAACATGTGTCTTGATGACTGATTATGTGACTTGTGATCCTTTGTGCTTTAAGTCTTCCAGGTGATGCAAGTTGGAGAGACACTCATCATTGAGGCGCGAGCTGTGCAGAGTCTTGATGTGCCTTGTTAAAAGCACAGACGTGGGAGGTGCCTCAGACGGACGAAAATGGGGAGTACAGGTGCTTTAGCGACCAAATGAATTCCAAAATATTCCAAGGCATGCTCGGCAAAGATGTGTCAGTTTCAGAAACGTGCTTTCAGGTACACAGCCAATGCCTATATGGACAAGACAGATGTGATTAGTAAGCCAGTCAACGAAATCATCGAGGTCAAGAAAGGCAAAAGTAAGAAGAAGCCTCTCGGCATTCCCAATCATCGTTGAACAGGTGCCAATGACCACGTGACAATATTTAAAGCATTTCTGGTCTGAAGTTGGAAGAGGCTTCAAGACGTGTTCACGAATGTCACTAAGGGGAGGCCCTGAACCTGATCCATTGCTTCAGTTGCTTGGCCACACTGAGCACCTTTGCACAGTGTCAGTATGAATTGACTTCTAGTTTGTTTGTTTGTGCCCACCTTTCCCCACCCTTGCTCGGACAGAGGTTGACATTTGTTGCTTTGAAAGAAGGAAAGCTCCAGAGCTGCAATTGAGCTTCCGACACTACTCAAGTTCAGCTTTGTATGTTCATGTCATTCTGTAGTGGTGGCTCTTTTTGCATATTTCATATTACTGTATATATTCACATGTCAAATGTTGTTTTGGTGTCTCAGGTGCGTGCTTTTTGTAGACGTGAGCTGGGAGGATCAAGAAGAAAAGCTGTGCTTGACGTCATCGCCCCAACGGAAGCGGATTGGCACAATTTTTGTTCTCGTCTTTGCCAAGTAGCAGGCACCGGTTGGCTGCACCAGTGGCAAAGCACACAATCGCCAGAATCGGGCCGGTGGAAATCGATGTGCGGAACCCATGAAGCTTGCGAACATAATGTCAGCAGTGGCTATGCAACAAGTGAGGTACAAAAGTCCGCTGGAAAACCAGAAAAAGGAGCACTCCAATGGCAGGGATCCTTTTTTCATTTGTTGTTCTAAATATACAAGATGTCCAGAATGGATGAGTTGTTTGAGGTGGAATGGAGAGAAATGGAGTGGCAAGAAAGGCCCCAAGAAAAAGGGCAAGTGCTGCTGGCAAAGTTTGCTCTCATCTCAGTCCTCCTTACCGGTTCCTGTCCCCAACATTTTTGCGGGACTGCACTAATGTTGGGGGTACGGGCAGAGTTTGCCCCACTCCTATTACCATCAATGAATGTTTGTTGCTAACACAGGGTATTTGCAGTCAGTCATCAGCGATGTGAACATTTACATTCCTTGCTTGCCAGGAAATGAATCAATTCTGAATGGATGCAAATCAGTCTCACGCATCATGGCGTTTCACAGAAGACAACAATACACATGGTTGTTGTCACTTTCTAGTAAATTAGCAAGCATGTGACTCGTGTGCCAACCATCATGACATGACGTGCTAACGACGAGCGACTGTCCATACAAGAGACGCAGTCTAAAGGGACGACGGTGTGTTGCTTTTTCAAACTGAACAGCAGGATGGAAAGATGGACAACACGCTGCTGGAATCATGCAAGGAAAATGCGGCTTCATGGCCAAGTTGTAGCGCTGTTAAGTTCGCAAGATCACTAGGAATCTAGGACTGCTTGGTAATCAAAATGGTAAAGCAAACACCTGCATCCCATCGATCAAACCACTCAAGTTCAAAGCGGCGGTGAAGTTCTTGAACATCACATACAACTTCGATTTGACAAGCCCTGTCACCTACTTGCAGCTTATGAGGTTGTGCGACCCATGCTTGTCCATCCTGGACCTCCACGGGTGGCATGGACCCCCTGAGGTCCTACAAAGGGTCGTGCAGGGTCCAATGGCAAAGAAGGATCAAAACAAAAGGAATCGTCCTCTTCAATGCTAGCTACTTTCGCGGCATGAGTTGTGCAAAGGCTCTCTACCGGTTCTGGACGGGTCGGTCGGATGGCTTTGAAGATCTGGTGGACTGCTTGGGTCTCATCGAGGTGCTGCTGTCTCGTTTGTTTCTGCACCAACTCCTCTTCTACTTTATCCAAATATGCTTGGAAAGCATCAAGGATTGCTTGTGCAAGGCTAGGACCAGGTGGCTGCTGAGGAATCACTAAGGGCCCTCCAACTACTTTGAGGAGGCGCTCACCCCACCACTGGCAAAGGGTAGGGGGAAAACCAAATGCTCTGTCTGACTATAAATAGCCCTCCACAATGCGATGGAGCTGACGACCCACGCATGGAGAAGCTTTAGCTAGACTCGCATAGTTGGAAAGTCGACGGAATTGTTGGAACACATGATTGTGATGTTCTGACTGGTCGGATTGGGCCGCCGGGCCATATGCAACCCCTCCCAGAACCCAAACCTGACCCACAAAAAATCTGGCTGCTGCCAGTCTTCCTGCACAATATTCTGAAGACCATGGCATGTCAACACTACGAAAGCAAGCAGCAACCCTGTGTGCACTCCCCCTATCGCCCCGACCTTCTGGCTTCACAGTGGCGCAGGACAACCTGTTGTTAAACGCAATTTAGAAGTCTGTCGTATCAGCTCTTTGCCAGCCTGTGACAAGGAGGTTTTTGACACTGCGTAAACACCCAAAGGCAATGAAATCATCTCTGTGGCTTTTCCCAAAAGACTGTTGGGGTTAACCGCACCAAAAGCGCATGCTGAAAAGATTTAAATTGACCCAGGCAACATAAAATCATGCAAGAACCTACAAAAACGAGACAACCCCTCGACATTCCCTCGACGTTCCCTCGCCCGCGACATTCCCTCGACAATCCCTCGACATTCCCTCGTGCCGACAAATTCCCCTCGACATTCCCTCGACCTTCCCTCGCCCTCAACATTCCCTACTCCTTTCCATTTTTGATGATTTCTTGCATGGTTTTTTGTTTCTTAATGGCTTTTCTTCTGAAACCCCCTTTTTGTTGGGTTTTTCAATGACCTTAACCGTTTTCCTTTCTTTTTGTTGGCTTTTGTTGATCCCTGGCTGATTTTGTCATACAGTCTCGTTTCAGTAATATTGCTCTACCAAGCTTGTGTTAGTTTTTTGCGCCTACTTGCTGGCTAATGCCACTTTTTTGCTGCTCCGTTTGTTGTTTGCTATCCTTTATTGGTGTTTACTGTACTTGCTGTCACGTGACAAGGGATGTTGCGAGGGAAGTACACAGTGCTCTGACAGTGCTCAAAACAGTGCTCGGAAGTCAAAAACATGGAAAATACCAGCGATCCGGGCAGTAGCAATGCAAAACGATAGAAATTTGGAATTCTATGCTTTTTATTGATTCATTTACCACTCCTGTGGCCATACCCACAGTATTTACAGGGTTTTGGTGCGCGGGTACTGTCTGGAGCACTGTCCGGGCACTGTGGAGCACTGTGTTTCCATGTAGTCCCCGGCTGCGTTGTGTGCGCCATGGTCACTCCACGTCATGATGGCGCTCTACTCTGTTTGCTGTCCCCCACCCCTTGTGTCCTTCTTTGGCTCTTGTTACTGACACTGCAACTCTTCTTCTATACGTGGCACAACCCTATGTCACCGGCTTCGCAAGTTTGTTCTTCCTGTGTCATTGGCTTCACAAGTTCTTTAAAATACTGTATTGGCCCACCGCTGCTTGCTTGGCGCAACCCTGTGTCCGGTACTGGTGATGGACAAAATCCTGCAGCACCTCACCACTTTACCCTAGAAGGGTCGCATAGCAACCCCCGTGCCCCCTCATTCAATGTTGGCGCGACCCCTCTGAGGAGGTGGTGCAGGATTTTGGACCTTCAACTTGTTTTTGTTTTCTCACTGTGGTGGCCCCAATGTTAACAAGGGAGAACGAGGGCAGCAAGAAAAGTGTGCGCAAAGTGGTGCAGGATTTTGTCCATCAACAGTAGTGTTGACTATTTTGCCCTTGCTTTTCTTTCTTTGATGAATTTCAATTGTTTTTTACTTTTTTCATGAATTTTGATTACCTTTGCATCGTTTTATTTCCATCAAGAAGATTTTTCACAAATTCAATGGTTTTTGCATGCTTTTGGACATTTTCATCAATTTTTGCATCATTTTTGATATTTATCACAGTCTTTCACGATTTTCAAGTAAAATTGCATCGTTTAAGACCATTTAACGTTTGTCAAACTAATTTTCGATGAATTTCAACATTTCTTTTTGCTTTTAAAAGTTTTATCCCAGTTTGAATCATTATTATTATTGACATTTTGTCGAGCAGTCGTTTTGGGTTAGCTGGATGGATTTTGATTTTGTTTTGGTTGCAAGGCAGCTTGTTTTTTTTGAAATGTTTCGTTCTTTTTTGCCTTCCGCTGGATCAGCCTGTACTTTGCTGCTCAATGCTTTCGTGTTATTTTTTGTCCGGGCGCGTCTTGTCCCAGAAGGTTTTTAAAGTTACCAAGCTCAATCTGAAAAATTACTGCACGCATTTGGCGCATCTGAAACAAATGCTGCAACAAGACCTGCCCCACATATATCTGACACTGCTTTGCCAAGAAAAATTGCAATTTCACCTCTCAACTGAACGATGCACATTTCGACTGCATGTTGCACGGCGCGGGCCCCGGCCGGACCACTTGCTTCTTATTGTCAGCAGATTCAATTCGCATAGAATTTTCACGCAGTCCAACAGCAGGAGGGTCATATGACAGCGCGCAGTCCCAGAGATACATTGTTTCTTCCTGTTTTTGAACAACAAGCCTTCCCCATTGCTTCCATCATTTCCACTATAGAGTGACCCGACATGGAGCCCAAGCCAGCGAAAGATTTCCAAGCTCACGCCATGCAAGAATTTTTCTAGATTCAAATCATTTCTTGGTGGCGAGTTTGTGCTCTTTTGGAAAAATAAGCAGCAGTTCCTGCAATTCACTTTGGAACCCACGCCCGGAGATCATGAAATTGCGGCGCATACACTGAAGCTGCAATTCTACCCAGAAATGCCTTTGCATGCATGTATTGGCCACGCGTGATACCTGCGGAGATAGGCTTGGGAAATTTGTATTTGCCCAGCCGGACAGAGTGAAGCTAGTACTTGCAGCTGAACTTTATGACCTCTTGGGTTTTGCTCGCGCTTCCCAGAATCCGCCGACGAACCAAGTCGGCGGCTTTCCCAACGAAAATAGGCCGGATTAATGCCACGGTGCTTCTGGGAGCAGCGCTTCAACACCCCAGATCGAATGAAAATGGGTGGTGGTGGAAACGTCAGAATTCTGCTCATGCCAACCATGGTCAGTGATTGCTCAGCAGACTTCGGCCGCTTTGGACCTCGATTCTTTCATGTTTGGACCTAGACTTAGACCATTCCTGCTTTGCAGAGGCAGTGCAACCTGGCGTTTCGCGCACCACGGTTCTTTAGATAAATTTCTCTTAGCTGGCCACTGGCAGGCCACGAAGAGGAGCGAGATTTTTCGTTGGTTTTCCGCCTGGTAGGGGGGTTTCTTTCCGCGTCCATCCTGCTTTTCGCGTCAAGACCCTCTTGCGCAAGGTGGGTAAGGCGGGGTGACGCGATCCATACTTTCACGACAATTCCTTTGGCCTGTTCTCATGCCCGACATTTAAGCAGGATAGTTTTCAAATATTTCAAGCCGCAAGCTCCTGGCAGGTCTAAAGGACCAGGTCCACGTGCCCTGAGCACGTGCCGTGCGCTGGGCGCGCGTTCTCTCCATGTTGATTCCAATGCCGCCGCATTCTAAGTTGGCTCGACTAAGTAACATTGTATTAGATCGTATCAGTGTGCTTAAATACGATGTGTCTAATTGTTCAAAGAGAGTCTTGCAACTTGTTTTGACGAGTTGCTGCTAAAAGGTCCATGCCTCCTGGAGGCTACAGCTCCTACGCTAAATCCAGGAGGGTCATGTATTTCTTAGATTGAAACACGAGTCATCGAAAAACAAACAACGCAGGCAAGACCAGCGCAACACGATATTTTATATATCTATACATGTGTGGACACCCCGCACGATCTACCTAGAGCTGTTTTCTATGGGCCTGCCTGTACAAAAGCGTTTTGACCCTATCAGAAAGCAGTGGACCATTTTAGCTGACGACTATCAATGCGTTTTTAAAGACGCACTAAAAACCTTCTGTTTTGAAGAACTATTTATCTATATAAGGGAACGCGCTACAAACCTTCTATGTCTTGCATTCTTGGGCAAATTAAAAATATCTTTCGACAAGTTTGGTTTCAGAATGTGTCTTTTGCTTGTTGTTTGTTGTTAGTGTTTTTGGCTTTTTCCGTGTTTGTTCTCAGTCTCGAATGTAAATATATATTTTATTTATATACTACTATTCTGTCTTTAGTTCAAAGTAACACTGTAAATAAAGAATGCCCAAAAGAAATACGAACCAAACAATAATCCTGAAGCCAAACTTCTTGAAAAAGAGACTTGTCTATTTTTGTTTCTGTTTTTGTTAGTTTTGGGTGTCTTGTGTCAAATGCAGTTAAAAATGTAGTATGTGCTTAGCGCATGTTAATACATCTGCCTTTATTTTCTTAAAAGCAGCAGATTTGGGGCACCAATCCTTTTGAGTTCTAATGTTTTGATTCCATCTGGTTTCCAGTTGACTTCCTTTTGGTTCCTTTTGATTTCCCTTCAAAAACTTTAATCAGTTTGCATTAGCCCAGTGCACTAGAACCCTCGCAAAAAATATGACTGGCTCAACCCCCTACAATAGTGTTTGCCCTGTTGGCTTCAATACAAAACATCTCCTGCAATCACGCCTTCGCTTTTCTTTGTTCTTGAGCTTTATTTGTGAACTCCCTTTTTTAACTTGCTTTTTTGGTTTTCATCGATTACCTACTGAATTCCTTTGCTCTTGGTGACTTTAAAGTTCTGAAACCAAGTTCTTGTAGTTCCACTATCACCCTGTGGGAAACAAGCATAGACCCTGAAAACCACAGGTTTGTAAAGGCACGCAGTCTTTCAGGTCCCATTCGATTTGGGTCCATGTTATCTTTCGGCCGAGCGTAAAATATCAAACTACAAAAAGATTACTTCACTTCGGGTGATCCCCACCATGACATTTCAATCTAACAGTTTTTTGTGGCATGTATTGAAGCATTAGTTCTGACATTCTTTCCGGCATATCTTCTGACATTCTTTCATCTGACGTTCTTTCTAACATACTGTAAAGTTCTGAAACCAAGTTCTTGTAGTTCCACTATCACCCTGTGGGAAACAAGCGTAGACCCAGGAAACCACAGGTTTGTAAAGAAGCGCAGTCTTTCAGGGTCCCATTCGATTTGGGTCCATGTTATTTTGCGGCCGCGTGTATCTTATCAAATTACAAAAAGATTACTTCACTTCCGGCAATCCTCACCATGACATGTCAATCTGACAGTTTGTTGTGGCATGTACTGAAGCATTAGTTCTGACATTCTTTCCGACATATCTTCTGACATTTTTCTGGCATATCTTCTGAAATTCTTGTTTGGCGTTATCTTCTGACGTTCTTTCTGACACTCTTTGTGGCGCATCTTCTGACATTCTCTCTGACGGCGTTGTATCTGGCATATCTTCTGACTCGCGGTTGAGGTCCGGCGAGGAACACTTCCATTCGGAACTGGCGTTTGAGGTCCGGCGGGGAACACTGCCGTCTGGCGGGGAACGCTGCCGGCCTACACTTGCGAGGTCCGGCAGGGAACACTGCGAGAGGCGAGGGGAGGCGAGGCGAGGAGAGGAGAGGAGAGGAGAGGAGAGGAGGAGAGAAGAGAAGAACAGCGAGGTAGCTAACATAAAATCTAACAACCCTCACCTGACAGGTGGGGAAACAGAACTATTCCGCGAAGGGGTTGGCCCAGCGCGCTAGAAATCTTGAAAAAATCGCCCTCTACATTAATGTTTGTCCCTTTCCTTTTCGTTTTAAAAGTAACACCGCCTGGGTTAATGTCTACGTTTGTTTCCTCCGTTGTTTGCACTTTGCTTTGGTTTGACGTTTGGGAAAATATTCCCCTGCAATGATGTCTATGCTTTTACAATAACTGTTCATGACTTTTATTTGTGAGCTCTCTTCTTGAAAGCTCCTGTGGTGCTTAATGATTACAGTACTTTTTGAATTCCTTTTGGTTCTTGTTGATCCCCTGTGAAATCGTGTTGATTTTTGTTGATTACCTTTGAAGTTCTTTTGGTTGTTCTTGTGTCATCCCCTGCTTTAAATATATCAAACTATCGCAAGAATCTGTTCCACAAGGGGTTGGCCCGTTACATAAGATATCTTAAACAATATAACTTTACCCCCTACGAGAATGTCTGCCCCGTTTGGTTCTTTTAAACATCAACTGCAATCACGTCTACGTTTTTCAGTTTTCTTTACCTTTACATGTCTCTTTAAGAATTCCTTGTTGATTTTTCTTATTACCTATTGAAATCCTCTTAAACCCTTTTGAACTCCGTTGATTTTGCTTTAGTTTTGTTAGTTGACTTCCTTTTAAGTCCCTTCTTAAAATTAGCCAAAGTATTGCAAATATCTATTCCACACAGGGGTGGGGTAGCTGAGAAGTATGAAGAGTGGAAGAGCTGAAAAGCAGGAGAAGGTAGATCATGGGGTGAGCACATACACATATATATATATATACCGCGCATATTCGCTGCAAACTCATACAGGCAGTACACCATCCTGACACTGCTGGTGCTGCAGAGTTTGGTGGTCTTGTTGAGATGGGCACTGGACTTACACAAGGGTATTGCAAATTTTGCCGTAAGTGCATGTGTATTGTGTTTCTTTTAAGGTGTTGCTGCTGGATATATTTGGAGGGTTCATTATGGTTGCAGACTCAGCTTCACATACAAAGCCTAAAGAAGTCGTGGCAATGCTGAAGGCTGTGGCGACAGCTTTTGGCTGGTATGCCTACAAGGACTGAGCAACTTGCTCTTGTTGATGGGGAAGTTGTCAGTTCAGTGGAGACGCATGCATCCTTCATGGATGTTCCTGGTCTTCAATGCGCATCCCAGTAGTCGAGGGGTCAGGGTCGATTTTCGCCAATCATGTTGCTGTCCCGGTTTTCGACGCAGTTTATTTTATTATAACAAGTGTATTCACTGTTCGGTTGGATGGCTGTGCTGCACGTGTCTCAGTTTCCGCTAAATTAACAAGGTGACCTACTCTTGGTGGCAAGATGTTCTGCATGGGTTGGGTGAACCACAACCAGCAACCATCTGCACAAGTTTCCATTGGACATGCGCCCGACGTGTATGCTCTAATGCTGGTGTTTGGTCGCTCGGGTAGGAATCCGGTGTGCTGCAAAGAACGGGTCTAAAACATACACGTCCTACTGTCAATCGATTTGTTTGTCCCTTTGCGTTTTTGAGCTCCAGAGGTCCAGAACTGACGTCCAAGGTGTTGTTCTACACGAGGCTTCTCGCTTCGGGTGGCAGGCACATACCAAGAGCGAGCCGGTCGCAAGGCAGCAGCCCCAAACAGGGCGCCAACAACACAGCAGCACAGGCAGCTTGCAAACTTTCAAAACTCCCGAAATGTGGCAGAGCCCGAAAGCCAAACAAGTTCCCTGACATAGGTGGAATCTGGGGCCGCACGTTGGAACCAATTCTCTTGAAGTACGTCGAATTCGATTTTTGTACGCTCGCACTGTGGCAAGTCAGAGCACAAGTGTGTAGGAGTTTCAAAGTGGTATATATATATATAGTTTTTCTTTTCTGGGTGTCTCCCGCTCCTGCTCCACCAACACAAACAACCAGAGGAGCCACATGACTTCTGCAATAACATATTACTATGCCTTCACAACTGCAGAAAAGCTGTGTGTTCTAGCCTGCTTTTGGGATGCTTTTTGTATTTTTCCCCAAACAGTGTGGACACACTTAGGGGTGCTTACGGTAGTGGTTAAGAAGCTGCGCTTAGATCGCTGTTCCGTGCGGACGTCAACGGCTAATTCACCGCTATTTACAGCGCATTCATGCCTCTCGAAATCCTCGAAGTGACACTCACTCTCACCCACACTCACTCTCACTCACACTCACTCTCACTCTCACTGACTCACACTCACTCTCACCCACACTCACTCACACCCACCTTCACTCTCACTCACTCTCACTCTCACTCACACTCACTCACACTCACACTCACCCTCACTCTCTCACTCTCACTCACTCACACTCACTCACTCACTCACCACCACCGCCGTCGCCGCGATCCCCACCTTCACCGCCACCATCACCTCTCTGGACCCCAACGCGTCTAGATCTTTAGACTTTCCGCTTATAGACTTCACACACACTGTTTGGGGTCTCTTGCCGGGGTAGTTTTGTATTATTCCCAAACGGTGTGGACACACTTAGGGCTTCTTACGGTAGTAGTTAAGCAGCTGTGCTTAGATCGCTGGGGCGCGGGGACGTCAACAGCTAATTCACTGCTGTTTACAGTGCGGTCATGCTTCTCGAAATCCCCGAGGTGCATTTCGACTGCACAGGCTCGCAAACTCTGGGTGTCGGCGTGGTGGTGAGTTACCTCAGGTTTTCGTGGTCCGAAGTCGACTTTTCGTGACAGGCGCAAGGAATCGGAGCGGCTGCACTTCGAAATGCAGATTTCGTGGCAGGCGCAGTACTTTGGACATGGTCGTGATCTTCGAGGCGCTCTGATTTCGTGACAGGCGCAGTGAATCGTGACTTTTGGACATGTGGCTCGTTTGCAGGCTTCATGGCAGGTACAGCACATTTGTGAACCTCGACGCGCAGAGTTCGTGACAGGCGCAGAACTTTGTGAACCTCGACGCGCAGAGTTCGTGGCAGGCGCAGCACTTTGTGAACCTCGACGCGCAGATTTCGTGACAGGCACAGAACGTTGTGAACCTCGAAGTGCAGATTTCGTGACAGCCACAGCACTTTGTGAACATCGATGTGCAGATTTCGTGGCAGGCATAGCATTTTGTGAACCTCGACGCGCAGAGTCCGTGACAGGCACAGAACTTTGTGAACCTCGAAGCGCAGAGTTCGTGACAGGCACAGCAATTTGTGAACCTCGATGCGCAGATTTCGTGAGCACTTTGTGGCAGGTGCAGCACACCCACTCTCGCACTCACATTCACATTCACTCTCACTCACTCTCACTCACTGTCACTAACTCGTTCTCTCACTCTCACTCTCAGTCTCCTCCATTCTCACTCACACACACTGGCACTATCTCTCACTCACTCACACTCACACTCATGTTCCCACTCACTCTCACATACATTCACACTCACTCTCACTCAATCTCACCCGCTCACTCACATTCACACACTCACATTCACACTCACTCTCACTCACTCACTCTCACTCACTCTCTCGCTCACTCACTCACTCACTCACTCACTCTCACACACACTCTCACTCTCGCTCACAGTCAAGCTCACAGACACTGACGCTCACACTGACAGTCACACTCACCACCACCGCCACCGTCACCACAATCTCCGCCTTCACCACTCACTAGTCCTTACACATTCTGTTTGGGGTCTCTTGCCGGGATAATTTTCTTCTGCCTTCGCATTGAGCCTGCTGTAGCCTCTCCTGTTCTCCCTTCTTTGTATATATAGGGTTCTATATACATAGCTCTACAGGTTTGCTTCAATGGAACCATTTACAGGTTTGCTTCGAAGGGACCTTTACCCATGGCGTGGCTGAAGTGGAAGAACCGGGTATACAATGCACGTGGTCGAAAAACGGGTCTCTTGAAAAGGCCGTTTTGCCTTTTCTCTTGATGCGCGCAAAAGGGTTTCAGGTATGCCCGTGGTCTCAACCCTCAACGTGTCACGACAGACATGTGCGAACACATCTCAAGGGCAATGTATATATATAATGTAATATATCGACGCAGTATGATCTCATCTCATCGGATGATTGATGTGCGATGTCGGTTCTGAAATTCTCTAACTTGACACCTTTATCGGTTTCTAGACGGCATGATCTTTTTGTGTGTCATCTCCCCGGTTGCAGGCCTCTCTTCTTTGAAAAGTTTTTTCTGAAGCGCGCGTTCCCTTGTTAAATCAAGACGTTGAGCCCGACTACGCTAGACTTCCAGCACAAGTGAGGTTTTGCTGTATAAAGGGTCTAATTCATGCAAATACCTTGCACACTGTCCAATCAATCTGCATAGTCAATGTCTCGAACAAACTACATCAACCACACACTGGTGCATGCCACATTGCGCTAGCTGACAGGATGACCTGAATGTGGCCTTTCTGTGCACCTTGGAAGCCTTGGTTGGAAAAGGGTCAAGCGCATGTTCATCCCATGTCATGCAGCCTTTTGAGTCACAAGGCTACTGGGGCCTGATGAGTGGTATCAATGGCATTTTCGACTTTGTGAAATTCATCGATGTTTCGGCCCGCACCCGAGCACCAGTGAACACGTTGCTGTTTAAGCTTGGAGAGTTGATGCAATTCAAGGTCCATCAGGGCTTCTCGTTTGCCTCGTTCTCCCCCAGGCCGTTGTGGACGTTCGCTGTTGACAGAAGCACCCGTCCAAGATCCACCAAATGACCCTAACCTTACTCCTCCCACTTTATCCACTTCATAGACTCTATGATTGGTAATCCTAAGAGATCCATGTTCACCCTTTCGAAAAAGGTTGTTCTGTTTTGGCTTGCAAAATTGGCGTCATCGAATTCCAAAACTTGTTTCCGGTGGATTTCTGACGGTTTCTCAATCACTGAACCACTATCAAACCTGAACTACGCGATGCCTGAAACTTGTTTTGCCGCGAAGTAAACAAAAGACGTAAGCAAAAGCGCTGCGCGGTGACATTTTTTCTAGACAAGCATGCTCGCAGAAAAAGCAATACGGGCTTCATGTTGACATGTTTTTTGTAGCACTTGTCACTCGAGCGCATAGCAGTCACACACTCCATGTGAAACCACATGTTGAGCCCAGTAAACATACCTGCGCTGCAGGCCGCTACAGCTCAAGTGAAAAGAAGCAAGGGTCCTGATTTCTTCGATCTCAGGTGAGCTCCAGGGTGGCTAGCAGCTGGCAGCTTCGCCGCAGCGCAGCTGAGAAATCAGTGCCAGTGGCTACCTCAACGGCAAGTTCACTGGTTGGGGGGCTGAAGCCCCATGGCAGCAATGGAGCAGGTTGTCACCGAGCTCCATGGGTTCACGAGAGTGTGCGCCCAGACTCTTGAGGAGGGGTTCATGAACGACCTGGAGCACGTGGAGAAGGACTTGGAGCAAGACCTCAAACTCGGAGAGTACAAGGAGGAAGTTCAGCAGAGAGCAAAGAAGCTTTACTACTAGGGGCGACCTCTTCGGATCGTCCGGAGTGTCACAGACACTGATGGCTTTCGAGCCTGGCAAGGGCTTTGTCGGGAGTTCCAGCCCAAGACAAAAGGCAAAGAGAGCTTGGAATCATCCAGGCATTGGTGGCCTTTCCGCAGTTCGAGAAGGGCAAGATCCTCGAAGGGATATCCGAAGTATGAGAAGCTGGTCGGCGAGTACGAGCGGCTGGCAGGAAGCTCCTTGGATGAGAACTTGAAGATAGCAACGGTCATGCGCTGTTGCCCAGGGCAGCTGGGACAGCATTTGCAGCTGAATGTGAAGCCTGGCACTCGGTATGCACAGGTGAGAGAGTCGATGGTGGCCTACGAGCAATCTACGGCTGCCTGGTCAAGCACCAAGATCTTCGAGCGCAACCAGATTGTACCAATGGAGGTGGATCGCATTGAGGGCGACCGCAAAGGAAAGGGCAAGGACAAGGGCGAAGGCAAGAAAGGCTCACCCAAAGGCAAGGGTGACAAAGGCAAGAGCGGGGGCAAAGGCAAAGGCTCTTCTGACCAGAAGGGCGAAGGAAAAGGAGGCGGCAAGAGCCAAGACAAAGGCAAAGGCGCGTCCAAGGGACCTTGCTTTGTGTGTGGCAAGACAGGCCACAGAGCAGCTGAATGTTGGCAACGTGGACAACCATGATTCAGGAGATCATGGAGGAAATGGTGGAGGGTAACCTTCTGGACCTTCCACGAGGACTTCATCGTCTTCGGCAAGCACAGCACCAAGCAGCAACACTTCCTACAGAAGCGCTGGCACGGTGAGAAGAGTTTGGGAGATCAAGACACCTCCCATGTTGGAAGCTTGCGAGATCTTCGACCTGGCTGAGGAAGGCGAGATTGACATTGAGGAAAGCTTCACTGAAGGCTTCGAGATGGTGGTCACTGAGGAGGACATGGTTGAGCACTTTGACCTCACCAAGACTGACGTGGACGACTACTGGACCATGGAGGATGACTTCACCCACGAGATCGACCTCATCGACTGCAAAATGGACTACAACGACCTCTTCGAGAACGTGGACCCTCAAGACCTCCAAGGTTGAGACCTTTGAGATCCAGGCCATCTGTGAGTTGGGCCTGAACTACAACGCTGTACTCGACTTGAGTGCAGATGTGAGTGCGGTGCCCATGAACATGGGCAGCTTGGGCAAGAGGACCCAAGGTGGAGCATTGCTTCGAGATGCTCAAGGACAAACGATCCTGTTGAAGGGAAAGTGGCAATGACTTTGCATTGTGTAGCAGCCGTTGGACGACCTGTCAAGCTGAAGGAGATCTTCGTGGTGGCCAACGTGAAGCAACCGCTTGTGGCTATGGGCAAGTGCCCTGACTCTGAGCTTTGGCTTGGAGGGAAGAGAAGGTCAGCTATGTCATGGACGTGTCTGACAAGCTCAAGGCCATGGCTGATGAACCTGGCTGGCGTGAGTTGAGCGATGGCACGCCTGTTTTGGTGGTCAAGAATTCTTTCACTTTCCAGGACATCTCAAGATGGTATGACCCTCATGAGTTTCCTTGCAGGACAAGACTGGTGAAGCTGGAGAGTGGCGAGTATGACTGTGTGGAGAGCGCGCAGTTCTGGGTGGACAGGAGGATGTCAGAGCTGGATGGCATTTCGCCATGCACTACACTGACTTTGGTGCATCAGAAAGCACTTTTCTTCCACGAGATTCACCTCCTGAACTTCTACAAGATGATCTTCATGCACAACTTGGACGACCTCCTGAACCACGTCTTCTACCTCGAGAAGTAGAGCCTGTTCCTGAAGAGATGCAGGCTGATGAACCTCAAGGAGGACCGCGTGAACCAGAGCAACTGGTCTACGACGAGGTTGGAGACGACTTCGTGACGGTGAATGGCTTGAAGCTGACAACTGCAAGCTCAAGAAAAGTGATGAAGGATGCTTGCGAGTTCCTCGGAATCCCTTTGAGTGGGAGCAAGGCTGTGGTCTTCAAAAGGCTACAGGTGGCAGTAAGAGAAACAGCAGCAAAAGCAGCGTTAGATGCAGCTCGAAATGAGAAGAGGGCTATGGAGCGTCGACCTCAACGAGCTGGAGTACCCCTAGCCCCAACAGAGGAAGAGAAGCAACGGCATAATTTGCTCACACACCTCCCTTTTGCAGACTGGTGTGAACATTGCCAAGCAACAAGGTCAAAAGACAATGAACGTCATGAACGACGAGAAGAAGTTTGTCCCACAGTGGCTTTGGACTACATGACAACGAACACCACAATTCGCAAAGAAAGCCCAGAAGTCAAGCGTTTGGTAGCTGTGGACAATAGGTCAAAAGCCATTTTGGCTGCGCCAATTAAGGCAAAAGGTGGTGCAAGCGTGGAGCTGTGTGCCAATTCAATTTGTGGCTTTGTCACGGACTATGAGAAGGTGATCATCAAGGGCGACCAAGAACCTTCACTGAAACAAATGGCTGTTGCAAGGAAGCTGTTGAAGCTTCAGACAACACAAGAGTTGTCACCTCAAGGCAGATCAGCATCCAACCCTGCAGAGCGAGCAGTTCAGACGGTGAGAAGGTTGGGCAACACTTTGCTGGAGAGCATCCGTGTTGGATGTGGATTTGAGATTCCTGCTTCACACCCACTGTTTGTGTGGTGCTATGCCCATGCATCCTGGCTGTACAACAGGTTCCATGTGACACCTGGTGGCAATACACCATTTGAAGTTGTGACTTCCCGCACCTACTCGGGGAAGCTGGCACCTTTTGGAGCATGCGTTTACGGACAAACCACTTCCAGTTCCGAAGAACACCCGACGGGGAGTTCCAACCTGGCGGAAGGGAACTATGTGGGCAAGTTGATGGACTCAGACCTCAACTTCCTCTTATCGCCCGACGGATTGTTTGTGACGAGAGCAGTCCGACGATGCGCCGACGAATGGCAACCAGAATTCCTCAAGGCTTGTCATGGGTTGCCATGGGATGATGCAAGCTCAAGGAAATTTGGTCCCACGACCAAAGTCGACAAGAAGAGAAGCCTGGAAAGCCAGACCTTTCCTGGACTACACGATGATGAGGCCAAGGCTGTGGAAGAGTACGCGCGACGTCGAGAGAAGAAGCTTTGGCGAAACCCTTCGGAGAGCTGGAGGGCAGCGATGAGGAGTACCTTGACGACAAGGACTTGAAGGACAAGCAGCAGAAGGAGACCGAGCTCAAGAAGCCTGGTGATGGAGAACAAGGAGGAGCAGTTCCCTACACCCCGGAGAACGTCCCGTACACTCCGACAGAACTCCAGATGATTTGGCCATGAAGGATGCAGAGCCAGACACACTACATCCAGCAGGAGTTCGTGATGAACCTCAGTGGTCTACGTCCTCAAGTTCCTCAACAACCTGTTGGACCTCAACACCCTCAAGGAGAACTTCGACCTCGTGGTGAACTTCCTGGAGAAGAACCTCCCACGAAGGCAAAGGTGGACTTTCAGTTCCTCCTAGAGCACCCCCATCGTCTTCACCAACGGGAAGCAGCCTAGCAGCAGCACCTTCGTTTGCTGGCGGCGTTCAAGAAGTCTTTGGATGAGCGCGAGTTCATCGAGGTGGACGAGTACCCTTTGACTGGGGCGAGCTCAATGAAGTGGACTTGGAGCAAGAGTCTGAAGAAGCAGGACCTCCAGATGTCTCTGAAGAGATGCTGGCGCAGTTGGAGTTGGAGGCAGATGAACGAGAGATCTCACGCCTCATTCCAAAGAATGGCAACTTTGAGGGCTACAGGTTCCTGACGACCAAGAAGGTCTATGACTGGCGATGGCGCCTGAAGGAAGAGCCTGGCAAGTCTGGCTGGATGAGACGGTCAAGACTGGTTGGCAGAGACTACAAGTTTCTTTCGCCTGAGATGGAGAATTTAATTTGTTCAGCCCAACAAGCAATGCAATTGGAGTGAAACTATGGGCTGCCTTGGTTCAGTCGAGCCAAGGAGAACTTGGACTGTGGGCAGTCGACGGATGTCAAGGACGCCTACCTTATGGTTCCCCAGGAGGAGAAGGTCTATGTGGAGCGCAGTGGAGAGTTCTTTGAACTTGGACGACGCCTTCCTGGACAACGAGTTGGTTCCAAGGCATGGTATGACCACTTAGGCAAAGTGGCGCGAGACGAAGGGCTACAACCAAAATTTGCAAACTCCGCAGTTTTCTACAAGGTTGGCAGGACACCCTTGGCGATGTCTTCACATGTTGACGACCTACAGCTGGTTGGGAGTCAACAAGATGTTGAGAAGCTCCTTGATAGCTTCAGAAAGCAGGCATGGACGCTGCAAGTGCAAGGACCCTGCTCACCCAAGGTTGCAGGGCAATGTGCATTTCTCAAGAGGCAATTTGCTTCTGATGGATCTGGTTCCATGACTGTGAGGATGGACCAGAAGTACGTGAAGAAGTTGGTGGACTTGTTGGACCTGCGCGTGAACAAGGGCAAGTTGACGCCTACCACCGGAACCTTCCAGAAAGGACTACAAGGTCAACCTCTGTCAAAAGAGGAGTTGAGCCTCTACAGAACATGCGTTGGCATTTTGCTGTACATGTCAACAGAAAGGCCAGACATCCAATGTGCAGTTCGACAATTGGCTTCAAAGGTCACTGGACCTGACACCCTGGACCAGAAGGAGTTGAAGCAACTGGTGCTCTACTTGAAGCACACGGCAGACTACGTCCAGGAGATGAAGCAGAGTTTTGCTATGGCTTCAGCTATGGGAGAAAGGAATGACGACGTGAAGATGGCTGCAACGCAACGTCCGAGCCGACTCGAAGTGTTCACGGACAGTGACTGGGCATCGGATAGGACTACGAGGAGATCTACGTCATGCAGTCACATGTACCTCAACGGCTCAACGGCATCTTCTTTTGGAGTGCGAGCAGAAGCCAAAAGAGCATAGCTTTGTCAAGCTGTGAAGCTGAGTTCATTTCAGCAGTTAGCGGCATGGCAGATGGAATCTACATCAAGCGGATGTTGGAGGCCGTGCTGAATATGAAGGTGGTCTTGGAGCTGAGGATTGACAGTTCCTCCGCTCGAGCGCTACTTCAACGACAAGGAGTGCAGAGAACCCGACACATAAGCACTGGACTTCCTTGGGTGCAACAGAAAGTTGAAGAGCGAGAAGTTGAGAAGCAGCAATTCGACCAGTGCCGGGAAAAGAGAACAGCAGTGACTTGGGAACAAAGAGTCACAGCAGCAAGAGACTGAGATTCTCGCTGGGCCTCATTGGCTACTTGGAGTACGCTTGGACCACGAGTTGGAGCCCAAGAAGAAGAAATTCGACATGTCAAAGGACTTCGACCTGAACGAGTACAACAACTGACATGTTTGCTTTTGGTGGCTTTGAGTCAACAGGGCCACGGAATGGAAGTCGACGAGACGACGACCGGGAATGAAGGAAACCGTGGACTTCTCTTCATGGTGTTCACGGCGATTGAATGCAGTTTTGTTTGTGGCCATGATGATGGCTATGAGCGTTCAAGGTTGCGACTTAGCGCTGATGGTGCTTCATTCAGCTTCGATTGGAGCATGGTCTCTCCTGACCGAGATGGGCTACCAGATCTTGCAGACTGGCATGATGATGGTGGCATTCAATGCGTTGGTCTTCATCCTGTTCTACCTAAGGGACTACTTGAACCTGTTCAAGGTGGAGGAGAATTTCAACGAGAAACTTCACCACCTCAAGACCCTCATCGAGATGGTGAACAAAGAAAGGTCAAGCACTCAAGGTTCAACCTCTTCGGAGAACCAGCCGGACATGATCCGGAAGCTTGCGGAAGTGATCGAGATGGAGAACTATGGGATGAACCTGATGGTGGAGATGTCAACCACCTACTACTTGAAGGAGAAGAAGAAGAAGGTGAAGAACAAGAACAAGAAGACGTACCACAACTCGAGAACCTCACGGAGACAGCCTACACGTTACACCTCTGGTGGAGAACCCACTGAAGATGAGTTCACAGAGGACGCCATGGACGTGGACGATGATGATGTCATCGCAACAGTGGCCCCATTGGTCAAGAGATGGCGACCTACAGAGTGAAGAGTACTTCTTGGACGTGGATGGACGTCTAGAACGCCACGGTGGACTTGGAAGCTTGAGTGGAGAGAGTTCAGAAGAAGAAGAAGAGTCTGCAGCAGACCAACCTGCTGAAGAACCTGAAGGCAGTGCACCTGGACAAGTTCAACGCGTAGAACGCGAACTTGGCGACGAGGCGACGGACGCAGTTCGAGAACTTCGGCGGCGTGCTGGCTTGAGAGAAGAGCTGGGTGAACACCCAGAGTGCTACATAGAGTACAACATGCTGGCATCGTGTTCTGGATGAACCCACACACAGGTGAAATCCAGATGCACCGACTCCTCGACCTCACGATCGACACACCTCAAGAGGGTGAGGAGTACTTCATCGAGAATCCCAACTGGATGAGAGAGGGTGGCAAAATGGTTGATCAGAAGGCTTTGCTATGAGCCTGAGCCAGAGGAAGAGATCCCTGAATCCCCAAGAGGCTATGGCTGGGCCCTGGGAACAGGAGAGTGGATGGACCGCGTGAGAGAAAGGAGAGCGCAAGCAGAAAGAGAAGCTTTGCGGCAGCAGGTAGAGCAAGCAGAAGCAGCTGGACCACGAAGAAGGCGCTGAGCAATCAATGCGTGTGAGCAATCACTGCCAGAGACCAACAACCTGGCAAACAAGTGAGAGCTGGTTGGAAGCAGACTAGAGCGTCTGTTCCAAAGGAGGAGTGTAGCACTTGTCACTCGAGCGCATAGCAGTCACACACTCCATGTGAAACCACATGTTGAGCCCAGTAAACATACCTGCACTGCAGGCCGCTACAGCTCAAGTGAAAGAAGCGAGCTTAGCTAGGTTTCTTGGCAAAACATTGGCGGCCTTGGCATTGTTTCCCACCCTGAGATTTGACGATGCCCGCTTGTTTCCACAGCGTTTCCTAGTGGTTTGGGCAATTCAATATAGGACTCGGACCGAATGCATCTACCCCGCTATCAGGGGAAGGTGGGCCATCACCCCACTTCGGTATAGCCACGCGGTGGCTGATTTCCGTTGTCATGAATGATTGGTTGGTTGGCATTGCGTGCAAGTGCGCTATCAGTGAACTTGATTGCGAGCAACGCGTGCAGTATGAAGCTTCAGTGGCTTCTGCTTTTAGCAGTGCCAGCTGTGACCCTCCCATCAGCAGTCCTGGCTTGGTCACTGCCTGAGGGTGACATGAGATTTTGGCACACAGTGTGTTTGCGCGTTTGTCCTATCTGAGGTACGTTTATCAGGATATGAGATATGGATCGGGTTGGGCACTTCGTCGTGCTTGATGCAGTGCTTGATGCTTGGCAGCTCCAGTTCTTTGCTGTGCTTCTGAAGGTGAGTCGCCACAAAGAACGGCAGACTGGGCAGAGTCACGCACGGAGCGGGCACCCTTGCGCCAGTTGTGGCCTCAGAATTCAACAAACCGATATGGAACATGGGGGTATCTGCGCATCCGATACTTTTTTCGAGACAAGCTGGAAAGCTATACCGTTTATGGACCAGCAAGCCCAGGCAATTTTGCTTGAATAAACCTAATAATTGGGAATCCACAAGCACAAAAAGCCCGTCATGAATGATATCATATGTATGTATGCAACCTCCCTGGACGCTTTGAACGCAGTTTCAGTTGTTTTGCTTTAAATTAATTCCAAAGTCTAAAACAATTTTGGCGGCAAAGGATACTTTGGAAGGCCAAAAGTATTCAGTTATAAACCGCTGTCACTGTCAATAGATAATGGAGCATTCTGTTTGAGCGCCTTTCCCTTATACACATCTTTTTCCATGTATCCTCGCATTGTGTTTTCTGATTTGGTATTCAAGTTCAAAGGCTTGAATCCAGCCCAAAATGATCCTGACTTTGCTGAGCAGGGCACCCTGCTGAAGCAGTACAAGTTATTCCCGAATGCGTAGCGAAGGGTTCTTGTTTAACTCTGGGGGTCTGGGGGTATAGGATCTTGTTCGGGGCGGGCTGCGCAAGCGTCCGCAGCCGTTCGCAACCGTTCGCAGTGGGGCGCTAAGGCGCTGACATTGGGCGAAGCTTTTGGAGAGGGTTTCGGATGGAAAGTGACGTGTCAGATTCGTGTGAAATAGCGAGGAATCATGTGGAAATGTAAGATGCTGACGTATGCAGGATGATTTCACTGTGCAGGCGCAGCGTTTTGTGAGATCCGCAGTTTTCTGCGCAGTTCCATTGAGATTGGAGAGTGGTGTTTTTGGGGTGTTGGATGTGGCCGCGCCATTGGGGTTTGCGTTTCAGGGTGTTGCATCGAAGGTCTGCTTTCAATGTTTTCAAAGTTTGTTGAAGCTCACATGATATGACATTGTCGCTTGGTAGAGGTGAACGTCGCTGTGTGACATTGGGATTGGCATGTGAGCGGGTGTTGTTTGGAGGTGCTGGAATCGCGAAACTGCTTGGCAGGGCTGCGTGATGTGTGTGCTCCGAAGGGTGTTTCCGCTCGTTTTTTGGAGGAAGTCTCGTACGAAACGCTCGTTTTGCGGACTTTGACATGTGAGTTTTTGAGGAAGTCTCGTACGAAACGCTCGTTTTGGAGACTTGACGTGTGACTTTTGGAGGAAGTCTCGGACGAAACGCTCGTTTTGCAGACTCGAAGCGTGACTCGAAGCCTCGCCTGTGCCCTGCGGACTTGCACGGCCTTGGTGGAAAGTGAGTTTGCGTGGCGCCGTGCCACTGGGGAGCGCGAAACATGCTGGCGTA